AAGGCAATGGCTGTTAACTGTTATGCGATAGTGTTGTTTAGTTTTCTATATAAACAAAAGTATATTGATATATCTACGTTACCCATTTATATTATTTGTATGTAACATCTGTATATGTATACTATAAAAGCTACAATTTATTAAGCTTAACTTTATATGTATACTATAAAAGCTATAATTTATGAAGTTGCTTATTAAATTGATTTGTTTAAATTGAATTGATGTATTAAATCATTAATATTAACGCGTGTATTATGTTAAAGCACGCAGATTAACAGAAGAATGCTCAATTTGCAAAGTATCAATTCTAGTAATTATCGAAACGCTATTGACTATAATAAGACGTGTGATCTTTAAAATATTAACGTCAATGTCAGATGCTTTCTACGTTCGAAATTTGAAGTCAAAACACGTGTACCAATGTGTTCTCTGGACATAAAATCAACTCTGAAGTTTAAGTATGATTTATCGATTACTCTAAAGTGATAAGTAAATCTTTTCTAAAAGCATTATTGACTAAATAAGGTCTGATGAAAATATATTCATGTAAAAGACGCCTAAAAGTTTATTTTATAAACATTAATATATTTAACATCATTTTCTTCCCGAAATTAGAATAATTATTAGACGGTTATATCACACTTAACGCAACGAGAATACGAAACTGTAGTGAATTACGGCTCCAACTTGAAAAAACAAACATATACACATATATAAGATTTAGAGAGCTCGTATTTTTAAGAGTAATAATTACAAGTTTCTGTTGATTATTTGAGGACCAGCAAACGTTCGATTTGTATTAGGAAACATTTTCTAGATGATATATATACACAAATACTTATTGGTAGTCTTTTTTTAAACGTTGCCTTTTATCAAGCCACTTGTGAAGAAATAAATTTGGCAATGCAATGCACTCTATCATTATTTTGGCAAATAAAATTCTATTTTTATCGTGAAAATATATAAATGTCAAAGTCATGTATATTTAAAAAAAAAAAGAAAATTCTAAGTGTGGATGAAGGAACTGAGCGGAAAATTGATGAAAATTGACGTAGAAAAATTATTTAAAAACTGCACATGATTGTGAAAGACCAATAAAACTTATTAACAATTACGCGCATTTTAGTTTTGTTCATAAAAAAAAATTTTTTAAATTGAACATTCCGAGATCAGTAGAAACTGAATCTATGTAGCATATTGATTTAATTTTTATAGATATAAATGGGCTTAATAGTTAGGAAAATCCCGCGCACTTTTCTATCCAATCAAAATATTATAACCGTTCAAGAAATAAATATTATTTCTCATTACGATTATGTACCTGAAAAAGATCAGTCGGTAATATAAATTTACACTTTTGTGTGATAATACCCTGTCAAAAGGAACTGCATCCTCATACCCAGATAATTAATAAGAGCTGTATAAATAGACATGAGTTATTTTCTGAAATAACCGTTATAAATTATATCTAAAAAAAAGTTAAAACCAAAGGAAAAACATAACATTGAGTAGGAATTGAACCCAACTCTAGACATCGGTCTAACTTCATACTTAATGAAGTTAGAATTTATATTGAAATTATAAATATAAAAATTAATCTCGTCATCATACAAATTAATTGTAAGGTAATTGTGAGAAAAAAAAATTTTTATCTATGGTATCTACGTGGACTGGAACCCGGGACGACAAAAATGAAACCAAGCAGCACGCGTTAGCCATCTCGGCTATCAACGCACTAGGATTACGTAGTACGAAAGTTACATATGTTCATAGAAATGTACGAGGGTTTGTGATTAAAAAAGGGGCTTAAGTTGTAGATATTTGCTGTAATAATTAAGATATTTCGAGATATTTAATTATGAAAAAAAAAAAAAAATTGCATCAAGTGGGAATCGAAGCCTTTATTCTGGTCGAAGAGAAAAGATTTGCCGAGACGAAATTCTCTTCGAGTGCTCAAACTCGCACTCTTGCTTCGCCCCGCCCATCGGCTAACGTGATTGGTCAGACGCACATTCTCTTCTTCTCCTCTGTATATTAGACGCACGTTTGGTATTCCCCTCTCGCGCCGAACGAAAATGTGCGTCAGCTTCGGTGCTTTGGCCACTACGGGGCGCTCGAACCAGTAACATTTGTCGGGCACGCTCGGAAGCATTGCCGTCAGCAATCTCCCTACTAATCTCTGCTCCGTAGTCGCTCTGAATGAACCTACTGTGACCCCGCGCTCAACAGAGAGCACCAGAAGTGGGGGCTTGTGACTATGAGAGAAAGAGCGAAAGCTCGCAAGCACTCTACTCGCATTGCTCTACGGCATTGCATTTGATATGCGTTCTCATAACAAAATTTTTTTTTATTATTGTTAGTTTGTTGAGAATATTTCCTTATTGATGATTTTTTGAGCTTTTGTCTGGCTAAATGATGGTGTAGAGCTACATAATGGCTGTATAAACGCGGTTATAGTCGTCTTCGTCCAAGTTTATTATTTTATTATTGTTACATATATTTTTGTTGCAAATATTGGTGGTAAGACAGATGTTTATTTGAATCTTTATTCAATGAAAGTATAATATTTAACTTGTACTTTCACATTTTTAACGAAAATAATTGTAACGTTGACGATTGTTCTCGGCTTTAATAGTAACAGTTTTTCAAAAATTAATGTCATATTGATTAAAATCATGATTCTATTTACTTTGACATACACATGCATACACACACGCTCGCATACACGCATTCATACTGCAATCTTATATTAATCATCTTGACGACAAGTACTTTGTTTATTCACCCAGTATACTTATAAAGTAAACGAATAAAAACTTGAAAATTAAAATTTATTTTGTAAACGTTTTAAGTTTATTGCGAAAAGTATAGCGAAACAACAAAATCATCAATGAACATAGGATTTCGTGAGCGCGTGGTCTTATTCAAGTCGCTTGTGTTTATTTCAATGGGCGAGCCCATCACACCACGCAAGTCTCGTGCAATTTGATCGTTCGCGGAAAATACTCAAGGTCAAGGCGACAATTTATTGATCCCTCAAGTCGAATGGGGGGAATAAGTTTTTTTCTTACACGCGCGTAATTGCAGTGAAGGCGAATGGCATTTTATATTCAAGAGCTTCGTGGAAATAAGCCATGAATATTTGCTCTTGATGCTTCCGGTTTTTGCCGAAGGTTGATTTCTAGAAAACATTGATTTTGTATAGTAATAACGTTAATCGAAGAGCTTGCATTATTTGACAAATGCTACTTGATTGATTAATTTGTTCAGTACTATATATTGATTGACGTGAATAATCAAAATATTTTTTCATTTTATTTTAAATTAATATTATTATAGGTTTTTAATCAAGTATAAACTTAATAAAATCTAATCTTTTAATCTTTTAACAAACTAAAATAATCGAATAATAATATTATTGTACAAACTGAAAAAATGAATTTTATTTGAACTCCCACAAGAAGAAGGTATATTACGTGTGTATGTTTAATTAAAATTTTTAAAACTACCTGTACTCATGGTGTTCAAACTAATAATACGAATGACGCATTTAATTGGAATTTATTTAACAAGATCTAGAACTACTTTTACTGATGAACATTATTACAAAATACAGTTTGGATGAAAATGCACTTTTCTTTGATTGATAAATGATAATGTTGCAATTATGTAATAGTGTCGCCATCTTTATGTACTGAAGTGAATACATGAGTATGTAATGATAAAGATAAAATTAATTACATTGCTCTTACTTGCAGACGATAAGGTCGCATGTTGCAGTCGAGTTTCATCTATAATATCATGATTTCTACCACCTGTAGTTAAGACAATATGTACAAGTTCATTCGTCTATAATCAAAGATTATACTCATTATGATATGGAAATTTGATATAAAAAATTATTCGTAGATAAGAAATAGATGAAGAAAATTAGAAAAGTCCGCAATAAAAATATTGTTGGTTCATTTTATAAGTTATCCACTCTCCATGTAGTATCCAATAATACTCCCTACTGGAAATATCCATATAGATTCCTATATGGAGTTAATATAACATCAACATGGATTCTACATAAAATGAATATGATATCCATATAAATTCCATACAGTTCTATATAAAATCTACGTAGATTCTATATGGACTTCTATGTTGATTTTAATGGAATCTATATAGATTTTGCCAATGAGTAGATATGGAATCCACAAGAAGAAATCTGTGATGGGAATTGTATTTTAAATAATATTTCACATAATATTTATACTTATTTTTTATGTAAAAGTATTGTTTTGAATTTTCCAAATTTAAAACAATAAAAAAAGGATAATCTATAACCTATCGGTTCTTTTTGTGATAGTTCATTCGCCGTCATCATTATTTTCAATAAAAAAAGAACATACAAAAACCGAGAATTAACGTGTAATTGTAATGTACATATTAATGTATTATAGAATCAGGTTCAAAAAAATCGTAAAAAAATTGGTTGTTGATAATAAAGAAATTTCAGTTACTTGTGAATATAAACTGCATCAATGTTCATTATTTTATTTGTTACTCTCGATTATAAAAAACATCGAAATCAAGCCATTATGAACAATTTTTTAGAGCGCCACCGATTTGAAAATAAAAGTAATGTTTTTAAGCGCGCGAAAGCTCGCTGATAGGCTGCTTCCACCACCTTGACCAGCCCGTCGGATTTTAAATAGGTTCCTTTTCAATATCATTTGACAAGAATTCCCAACTTTTCAAATTCCACAAGAGATCTTAAAAATATAGAGTTTACTGTACCAATCACCGCCGAATTTTTCACTTAATGTGATTTCAAAATCATTTTTCGGCTAACAAAAGAATTGAGTTGAAATTTAATTCTTTTTAGTAAAAAAGGCCATTTTTCCACATACTTATCATGAAATTTTCTAATATTTACTACACTATGCTAATTGGTTTGATTGCAGTTCATTATAAACCAGTTAGATTACAAATTAAATTTATTCAATGAAAATATTACAAAATGTAAAAATTACAGCAACAATCAACTAATAAAAAAGGCAATCGTACTATAATCTATAACAAATGAGCGTCACGCTCCACTTCTTATTATCCACATAATAATAAAATTGAGAGGGAGAGAGAGAATGAGAGAGTGTGAGAGAGAGAGAGAATAGATAATTGAGGTGAATAATTAAGTGAAATTTTAATCGATGTTGAGCTTGCGAAATGAGCCTTGTACACCCTCAAGCTCTTTGAGAATATTGGATTTGTTGTTAGGCAATCGGGCACTTTCGTTTGTTCGACTGATTTTTTCTTCGCGAAGAAACCAGTCACGATGTTTCTCAACTTTTAGTCGCCATGCTTCTGCAATTAATGTACGGAACATTCAATGGTTATTTTACTCAATGAAAGAATTCATAAATACTCGAAAATACCTATAAAATTATCGTACCGTTTAGCTCTTGAAAGCTACCTGCGTTACCACCGTACTCATTTGGAAGAATGTCCTTATCCATGTAAGCGTGTAACTCTTCACCCCCACCGGTATGGATTCGGAACTAAAAACGATGAGTATACGTCAAAACAGATGTTATTTTTATTTTATAAAAATCTTGATTTTACGTAGAGTAGATTACTAGACGCGATGTTTCTTTGAAAAATCTGACAAAAATTATGACAATGGCGGTTCTAGCAATTATAGCTCTTAAATCATTCCTAAGTAATATCTTCAATATTCACCTTTGAAATGAGTTTTTCCTTCAATAACGGATAAAAAACGTTCATGATACTGCCGATAAAAGACGGCGCGTTCAGATAATGAATTCGATGTAATCTAAATGGCATGCTGTTTTGTGTAGCGAGCATGGCTTTCTTCACGATTGTTTGAGCTGGTACGCATTTTGCGAAATGACCCGCTGTGAATCCCTGTTTTAAGGAAAAACACATTTATGCTGAAAATAAAATATATCAAACCACTAAAATTCACACATTTGAATATGCACCTTAAGGTCAAAGACCATGACGTTTGTGAGAGAAGCTTCTTCCATCAGACGAATATCCAAAACCATAAGAACTCGCCTTGTCGCTGCTGTCAACGAAAACTTGTCAATATCTGTATCCTTTAGTCGGAATATTGTCACTCTGTGACCTTCCTCAGTCAATTTTGGAAGTACAAAATATTCTCTGTAAAGAACGATGATAAGTTCATAAATTTATTGAACTGTAATCTCTTTAATGAAAATTTAGTAACCGAGTTATGTAGAAAAAGCACACTCGATTAAAAATGCAAACTTACATTGAATCACAACAATCTTGAATATCCCTTGCAAGTGGATCCCTGTTTGCAAAGAACTCAGGTAAAGCTGTTCGTGCACTGTAGTATGTTTCTATTATCATTTTGCATCTTTCTATACTGTTTTTGCAGCCGAATAAAAAGTGTTCCAATCTTTTATCATCTGGATTCATTGGTCGCCATTAGTTGTAACAATATAATGTATAATAATGTAGCACATTCAAAACTTTATTAAATTTAAATTACCCATATGTTTCGGAAGATGTGGTTGTTTAGCAAGCCAATCTCTGATTGCAATTAAATCGAGTTTTCTCATTTCTGGATTTGGCGGCAACTCCTCATCGATCCGCCTCTGTTGCTCAACCGTCGGCGGTAATAATGTCATTATAATTAATAACTAAACTGTAACAGAAAAGTAAGGCACTTTTTATATTTCATTAAAGATCATTTAATAACAACCTATCTATCATGAAAATTCATTATATTTCTGATAGTGAAAAATTATATTTTTTAACTATGTTACTTTCAAACTATTCGATTGTATTATCGTCTGGGTGAGGGCAATTTGTAAATTCTACTTCAGGGGTATCGTAGCGCAATTCACACAAGTTTCATATACAGTAAAGAAAATGTATATTACGCGCGACTTAATTAGCATATATGTATATGAGTAACTTATTATATGTATAGTCACGGACATTAAAATATATATGTGCCTTGACAATAAGACGACAAAGATTTTTTATTAATTTTTTTATTCTCCTCTTGACGAGAAGAGACTTACAAGATATTAGAGTACGTAAGACAATGATGAATTGATGAATGCACGAATTTTCATTAAGTGATGATCATTTACAACAACAGAATATAGTAAACTAAACTCAAAATAAAAGAACTAGCCACTAAGATCTTTGCATTTCCATTTTCTCTTGTTTATTTTTACAAAGTGTCTTTCTCTGATTTACATTTCATTTGTACTTATTTTTCTTTCCGTTATTTTTATTAGTTTTATCTCACGTTTTCCTTGATATGAATCTTCATTAAATAGAATAATTTTCCTGAATAGAGTTTTTTGCGCAAAGTAATTAATGATATGTGAAATAGAATTCTCGTATTTGTTTTTTATGCAAAAAGATTCTTTCATAGCATTGTTTTAGAGATAAGCTTTTATCTTGCAACTCCAAATGCAACGAATTTCAATTTCAAGGCAAGTCGTACCACTAATGCAGAGTACACCTTCAAGATTGTCAAGTAAGTCAATATTTTCCGCTGCTAGACCAACAAAAGAACAGCGAATATGAGCTTCATCTTTTCTTATACTATTTGAAAAATCGAAGTTATGCGAAAATTTTATACGTTATTTTGGTTATTTTGATTGTTTCCTTATCTTCCCAACGTTATTTTCGGTATTTTTTCCTGGTGTGATGACATTGTTGTCCAGCTTGGAAGAAAATTACATTTTTGCATATTTGCAAAGGCAATTTTTAAGAATGATTTATTCCTTTTAAATCAATATTTTTTATTAGACCTGATATCAGGTTTTGCGGAAATTTATAATGTTTTGAAAAAATATATCAATCTACCAATTGATTAATCAACAATATTACAACATAACATCAGCTACAATGGACAATAAATGAATTAAGTTATTCTGCAAGTTTATAAATAACAAAGTAAATACATCAAGATGAAATGTGTGATTATTTACTTAACAATTATGTCCTCGTTAAGTGCAAAATTGTCACTAACGCACACTATTCAATACAGCATAGAATTCTGCATAAAAAAAGTTTACTCTAAGAAAATGTTATTACCAATGGGTAATAACAAAAATCATGGTGACAAAGTGCTAGCAAACAACGAAGCCATTAAGTATAATCGAGATAAGCAGAAAAAATTATGATAACACAGCACATAGCTCGTTGCAGTTTTTCCTCATACAATAAAAGCCGACGACTGCTTAAGCGCAGTCATAAACAGTGCATCAATCGAAAATGAAGCTCATTCTCGGTCTCTTCTTAACAGCATGGGTAAATGCAGATCAGGTGAACCAATCGCCAACAGGTATAACATGTGCAAATGTACGTTGTCGCGAGGCTTGTCTCGATAATCCGACTCGTTGTGTTACGAGGTGCAACACAACCAGAATTTGTTCACCTGACAAAGTTTGCTTGAATGGATACTGCGAGAACAAACCGAAATTAACGTGTGCAACTGTTCTATGTATCACTGGGACAATTTGTCTCGAGAATCCAATACGTTGCGTAAAACCATGCCAAGACAAGCAGAATAGTTGTTCGAGTGGTACAACCTGTACCAATGGATACTGCGAGGAAATCCCAAAATTGACATGCGCAACTGTTAAGTGTCGTGGCGGTTATGTATGCTTAGAGAATCCTATTCGGTGCATTCAGACTTGCAAGGCGAGAGAGAATTGTTCCAAAGGCACCATTTGTTTGAATGGTTACTGCGAGAAAATTTTCACCAGTCCCATAAGAACAACTACGCCGTCGGTGTAGTGACTAGCATAGTTATATTCTGATTGAGTGAGTCACATATTTGTATGTCTACGAAGCTATGAGTGTTAATTAGTATTCATTGTCTATCTTAGCGTACATAAATTATAGAGTTAAAGAGTTAAGTTATTTACGGTAGTCTCAATGTTTTCGTTTTTTTATCCATATGAATTATGATATAAGAATCTAGCAAGGCTTTGACAATAGCAATCAAACGATCAATTTGATCTTCAAAACTCAAAGTTTTCACAAAAAATGCAAGCTCTATAAAATTATATGAAAGTATAATAGCTATTTTTTCTTATTGCAGGTAGACTGTTTGCAAAATATTTTGAGGACTTGAGGATAATATATAGTTATTATATTATAGCTTATAGGTAATCGATATAACAACACAGAAACCAAAGTAATCTCCATCTTACTGCAATTTTGTTTGTTCATATTGTTTTAACATTAATTATATTATTAATTAATAAAACGAATTGCTCATGTCTAAATTTTACAGTAATTATAACTTTTATACAATAATAAATAGAATTAAAATATTTATTTGTTTATTTCTTCATGCGTTTCAAATACTGATTCATTAATTTGTTCGATGTAATGGACATCTTATCATTGAAAACCTTATACTCCACAAATATTCCATATAACAAGACAAACAACAATATATTTAGTATGAAATTACAGGACAATAACTTGCACGATGACGCTTATAATCCAAGTCATCATTATCACTGACAAAGTATTGACACTATTTTGCAGTCTCAACTTTGATAAAATCAATCAAACAGTGAATGCATAAATGCAAATAAGGAAGCGAAAATAAGGAAACTATAAAAGCACAAATATATGTACAACGTATCATAACGTCACTGAAATTCCCCGCGTGCATCGAATAAAAGACAGCGATTTGATGATGTGCCGATGCAGTAACAAACGAATTGTCGGTCAAAAATGAAGTCTATCGTCGCTATTCTCCTTCTTACGGGTGCAACTCTGGTTTATTCGCAGATTCCACTCATAACTTGTGAAAATAAAGGCTGTCCCGATGCCTGTCTTGAAAACCCGACGCGCTGCGTGACTTCATGTAACGCTAATAAACTATGTGGTGTCAATCAAATTTGCTTGGATGGATACTGCCAGAGAAGACCATTATTAACCTGCTCTACTTATGATTGTCGCGATGGTTATTTTTGTCGTAACAACCCAGTTCGTTGTGTCAAGACTTGCACACTTGGAACGGAATGTCCCCGCAAGACACTCTGTTATAAAGGGGGTTGTGAGAAAATAATTTATGTACCATATTAATCAGATGACGATGAATGGTAGACTAGGTGAGTGAACTTTTTGATTGATGTGAAAATACAGTTTTTTTTGTTTTTTTTTTCAAGATATTGGTATATATTTATGCTTATGTTAGTATTAATAGTAGAAAATTTAACTTTTTGTTACAGGCAGAGAATTTCAAATTGAGGTACTACCTACAATTATGACCTAGTAGCCATAAAATTAAAAAATCTAACTAAATACTCAAAAAAATCAAGCATGCAGAAAAACATTCATATCAAATATTTAATTTTTGTCAGTACTTTTATATTCATGTGTTATTAATAAGTTGAGTTTATGTTGGAAAATAAATTAATAATAATGAAAAGATGCTATTTAATATGACAAATGTTTTTTTAGCGTAAGGATGAAACAATATACGTGTAAAGAAAAATTGAACTCGATCGATGTAGATAAAGAAATGATAACACAATTTATTTTAGGCGGTTTATTAACTAATTCATTAACCTTCTTGGACATTTAAATTTAATTATAGCAAAGTATGTTGTTAGTCGGAATAAATCATTTTATTAACTAAACTTTTGAAACAATATACTTTACCAGTCAAAAAATCATGATCAATGCAAACTAATTGATTTTTTCATTACATTTTTTATAAGATACATTATTCATGCACCTAGTTGATTTAGAATTTCAAACATTGCTTATTACTTAAGATTTCGAAATAATGTTCAAAATTGCAGTAGCGGGTAGTACGAAAATTTCATAAATGTACTTATATTAAAGCGTTTGAAAAAACCTTGCATTAATCTGGAAATATATTAAATGTTTTTAAATATACACATCATTATTTTAAATATATACTTTCAGAAACGAAAAGAAGTGCTGTAATGCGTACGGACGTTAAGTTTGTTTGCAGTTTTGACTTACAGTACTTATTTCTTATTCTATCTAAGATTTTGTTATTTAAATTTCAGAGGAGTTACTTGAATCTTTTTATATTCGACAAGTATTCATCTCATATTAAGACTAATTTAGACTTAAATTTTACATCGCCCCTATATGAGATAAAGATAATTAAACACATACATTTTATTTGAAAGTATCATTATTTTATTACAGCACATCAAAATACATCTTTGATTCGTTTGATAATTATAAATACGCAAAAATGACATATTAAACAAGATTGATTGAATTGTTACATTGATGAAGTATATAATTTTAATCTAGATCCTGTGGTATGGATTTTTTTGGAGCACATTTTTTTCTGGTATACAAACGACAATTCGACAGCTTAAGGGATTTGGCGGAAGATATCCAACTAGATTTTAACCTCTTGGTACACATTTTCCATTGACACATCTTTTCTCTGGTATGCAAATGACATCGCGGCAACTTGCAGCTGCTGGTGAACGCTTACTACGTGTATTTAAATCTCTTGGTACGCATCGTCCATTGACACACTTTCTTTCTGGTACACACAAGATATTACGGCAGCTAAGTTTGATTGTTGGAAGTTTTTCGCAGCGTCCGTTCATGCATTTGGTACCTTTGATACAATGGTTAGAGTCTATGCACATTGGTTTTTTCGCATAAACCAATGCCAAGCTAACGAGTAAAAATACAACGACGAACTTCATCTTGAGCGTATAACGAAGACTTCGTTCTTTCGGAAAGGTTATATAGCATTTATAGGATAAAATGTTGTGCTCTTTCTGATGGACTCTTTGTGTATATATGACCAATGCGTTATCTTTGTTATTTTAGCTTCATTTTCCCTGTAAATTTTCCTGCTTACTCAACTTTTTATTGTTTTAACTTTATTTGCTTCATAGGGATATGAATTTTCACTTCATGCGTTCAATAATTGTCTCTTTAATGTTACGAAATTTTTAAGTTTTAACAATTAAATAAAACTTATATAAATGTTGACGATACTATAATGATGAATATTTTTTGGTAGAGTATTGTAATAATTTTTTAGCGTCAACATATATAATTGAGCAATGAACGTAAATATGCGAATAATATTTGTCGACAAATTACGATTGCGATCTTCAACATCTTCCTGAAGAAAAAATCCAAGAAATAAGCAAACATAAGATAATTATAAAAAGATGGTTGCGAAACATATAACGACTAATGTCATTGTGATTCATTGTGTGTACCGAATATATCAATAATGTTACTACGCGCCAATGCAGTTACAAACAGATAATCGACCGAAAATGAAGTCTATCGTCGTTGTTCTTCTACTTACGGGTGCAATACTTGTTCGCTCAAAGACACAGATTCCTCACATACCTTGGGAAAAAAAAGGCTGTCCCGAAGTCGGCTTCAATGACCCGTTGCGCTGTGTAATTACGTGCAACGATGATAAACCTTGTCGAGAAAATGAAGAATGTTTGGATGGATACTGTGAGAAGATACAAGTAACATGTCTAACGGCGAAGTGTATCAATGGTTATATATGCCGTAACAATCCTGTTCGATGTATAAAAATTTGTGAATCTAAAAAGGATTGTCCTCGTGGTACCATCTGTTTGAACGGGGCTTGTGAGGGCGATCGTCCTTCTTTATAATGATCAGATTATCTCAAATTTTTGAATGACTAAGTAAGTCATTTGTTTAAATGTACTATATACTTAATTATTGTTTGGACGTGATTCTTTGCTACCCTATATACTTTAGCTTCGTTTATCCCATAAATTTTCTTGCTTACTGAATTATTTATTGCTTTAACTTGCTTGACATAGAAATAATTTTTTCATTCTCCAATTCACTGCTGTTTTTCCTTATAACAATTGGTTGGTTCTAACTCAAATTTACTCAGTAAACTTTATCAATTATGATCGATGCTATTATTGCGAAATTCTTAATTTATATATTATCTCTATTTATTTAAAATAAATTCCAAATTATTAATTGTTAATTCAGTGTGTATTTGAAAGAACAGATGCTATTTTTTGTGTAATATCATAAAAAATGGCGAAAAGTTATGGAAAAAGCTTATTTTTTTATCAACTAATTGTTAAAAGGATGATTGAGGCAAAATGAGGGTTCTGTTATTGAAACGAATTTTTTAAGGAAATTTTAACTTCTTTTAAACTAATTTCTAGTGAAATATGAATTTAAATTTCCACAAGAATTGACATGTGATGAATCGAGATATATATATATATATATATATATATATATATATATATATATATATATATATATATATATATATACATACATATACAATAAATACAGAAAATTTTTTCTCACAGTGAAAGTAAGAATATTTAATGATATCATTTGCCAATGGTCATATATTTTTATATGTGGGTTAACACAGTTTAAATTGGAAATCGAAGCCCTAGATACATACTCAGTTACTAAAAACCGCCTTTGAAATTCTGTATCCCAGGAAAAAGTTGGTGATTAATAATTTTCTCATTTTTATTTCAGACAGTTTAATCCTCAAATTATTCTTCATACAAACAATTATAAGGAACCATAAATGCAAGAATATTTATCGTATAAAGGAATCGATGATTGAACTATTGGAAACATAAATATATACAAATAGAAAGACAAAAATATACTTTCATAGTAGTTTCGCAGAATTGAATATAACTATAGATATTGGTATTACTCTAATGGTTTGTCTGACACCTACTGTAGCATTAGATGATACAGTCCAACTTATAAAATTACTTGATAAATATTACAAAAATGATCAAGATTCGTATGAAACATTGTGAGGCTAGTTTCATTTACATATTATTTATATATTCTATAACTCTGTAATGCCACTTATCCATTAATTAATCAATTTTATTAAAAAAAAAACTTAAAATATCTCAATGTTTAATTTAACAAATCTTCAATAGAAGCATTCTCGATGATACAATGGATGAGCGGTTAGAAAATTCTTTTTACATATTTAATAAAGTCAATCGACATGTTTGCTGCAGTGGGTATCTTTTCGTTAGTAGTTTAATATATTTCAAGAGGAATCGTAATGGAAAGCTTCATTTTTAGAATGTTTTGAGCAATAAATTTTTTATTTTTCAAGACGATTCAATTCTCTTCATCACTATAATGACAGTTCCTCGAGAGCATTTAAAATTTCTGATATGTTCGTCGGATAAAAGCAAAATTAATGATTTTTGGAGACAGATTGTATGGAATATATACGAGATGTAAATGGCATAACTTTTTTCATATTAAATTATCACCTACTATTTGAGGTCGAATATTCATTTTAGAAATTAAAAACAAGTTATTTATTATTACATTACGAAATATTTTTAACGACATTAGTTTGAATAGCTTTTTCTTAATTATCTATATATCAAAAAGTTTTTTTCTTAGTTTGTATTCATCAACATGATATCCATCAAGAAACCTGATCAAAAAAGTGAAATCCACGTGAGACATATTTGACAGATGATCCAAATGAATATACACACGTGCTCCTCAAAGCATAAATATGCATTAGGTAATAACGCATATTAAGCATGCAACCTTAAGAGCGTCCAGCAGAAAAAAAACATCCATTTCGGTAGAGACGCATGTTTCCATGGATTTGGCAAGCACATCGCATACGAGTGCGCGGGTGTGAAAGTATGTGTGCTTATCGGTTTCGAAACACACTCGGAGAAATTACTGGTTTAGGACGACGTGAGGCGAATCGCGGCTTTCCGCTGATTTCCGTCAGAAGAAACCTTTATTTTTATTTAGTCGTTTTATTCCACTTATCCTGTCACCTCGACTTTAGACATAACAGTGTATACCCCGGAGGCGACGAGACGTGACAGTTATTTGTAAATGACTGTCAGATTAATGACAATGAGCGATAATAACAATTAGTACGTTATTGGATGTCGTACTGTTTATTTAAAAAATTCCTGTACAATTTTCTTAACATAATCGTACATTACGTTTGATATTTTACATTATTTGGAGCTAGTTTTTCATCCTCGTTTTCAACTCAATTGTATTGTTATGAATATTTCAAAGAGAAAGCAATATGTGTTCAACTTTTGAGCAACACATTAGGTATTCCATAGCTAGTATCGCGTTACATGTCTGTAAAATATAAGTTGTACACACAGATGTAGTAATTACGTTAAATGTATGTTCATTGCTCCTTTTCAAATTTTATAGCAATCAATTGCATCAAGATTTCTTAAATAAACGGCATGATAAATTTAATTTGATTCATCGTTTGTAAAGAATGAGCAAATATTCTGAAACAGAAGTTAATTTCATAAAATCTTCGCATTAATTTTCCCTAGTAGCTAGGCTTCGTAGATTTCATCTGCGAGTTAAAAAACATAAGACATTTTTGTTGCAATGTTGATTAAGTGCAGCATTTACAAGCCCGAATAGGTTCACTTATTCAAAATAAACTAGAAAACGAAGGAATTAACAGTTAGCAATCTACGTATAATTTCAAGATAAAGCGTTTAAACAAATTATCGTATCTCTCTATCTAAAGAGCACACAACCGAGTGAAAAGCTTTGTACCTTTCCTTCGTTAATTTGCCGTGTATGTCGAAATAAGACATGATTACCAGGTGTTGCTGAGTGTGCACACGCGCTATCAAAAATTGTCGACGTGCGCGGAAAGCAAAATATTTTATTTTCTTAGTCGGTCAAAACAATAATCTCACCGTCACGTTTTACTTAATCGGTTTGGTGGAATTTGATTGTGATGCAGGTAGCGTGGCAACGAAAGAAAAGTTGTTGTTGCACAAGATATCAATTAATCAATGATGTTCAGATGCCAATAGTCTTTAAAGTTCTGTGCTACTTTATTTCCACTGCACTATATTCGTCGACCAAATCACATTTCCCACGTTTTTTCTCACTTTTCTCACAAAAAACGTGTAATACTTCTATTTACATGAGTATTACGAAATGATTATTATCATTTTCATATGTAGATGTTATAAGGAGAATACATCATGGAAACTTATAAATATTGAAAGTAACTACTTTTTTCAAAGTTCTTTTTCAAAACACATACTATAACTAGCTGCTGAAATAATTATTATCTGTATTATTATTTTCCACTTGAACTTTAACGTTTCCCATAGAATATTTTATCAAAAAAAGTATGAAAATCTACGTAGCTTATCGGAGTGATAATGGAAATTGAAGAGGTGAATAATTGATTTTTATTGCCAACAGATGTTAATCGTATACAAGAAATTTGATCTGTTTACCGACACTTAGTATCAAGTCTCTTCTATTATTAAAACATCATATTGGACAGCTAAGTTTTCTCATTGACCTTCTATAGTTACTCCCGGCGTAATATTTATTTTTCTAATTCGCTATCAGTTTACTGCTGTCAATAGATTGTGGAAACAGCAATCAGCTTTTAATGCTGTTTTGTCGCTGAGACATCAGAAAATTTATACTCTATGTGTAGATTTATAAAATTCGAAGAAATATTTTTCCACTATTAGAATTTATACGAAGTTTCAACTAAATCAAAAGAAATTTTAGTAGTGTAAAATAAATCTTATAGTACTGGATCACTGTATAGGCTAATACGTTGTACTTTATTTGATGTTACGTTGACCAGATGTAGCAACTTCATCAGAAACAATAGTTCAGTTCAATAATTTTAAGACTATCTTACCTGTAGCGATCCAGTGTAAGTTGTATTTTACACATAATCATGGAAGACGAGAAGATAACATTTAATGAAATGACAGTAGCCTGTTGAAATTAATAATGTACAATGGATAATGGTTGCATTTACTGCGCGTGAGTACATTCTTTTTCTAACAATCTATGATTCATTGTAATTATACTGTTCTGATTGAACATATATGAAATTTGCCCTGTCTAATTTACTCCATAAATATGTAGTAATCTCGTTTTCTTCAATTGATTCATTAGGTTATCTTTCATTATCACAATCTATAACTAAATATTTCGATTGAATATAATTACGCTGTTTTAATTCGTTATATATTCAATTTAAACTGTTTTATTTATTTCATGAATTCAACATACTTATTTTTTATAAAAGATTTATTGCGTAAATGCGTGTGTATATGTGTATCTTCGCATGTTTTGCATTCAATAAATGGGTCAACAATTTTTTTTTATACTATTTGAACTTGCTAATACAACTACCTGGATAATTTTTCGATAATTAACCGGATGTTTTTTTAAAAATGTGTAATCCTAAAGTTTTTTATTAATCAGATCAATCAAAAAGATTAATTTTGATAATTGGTATTAAATAATGAATTGGTAAATGTTATCTCTAATTTCAATTAGTTAACCTGGTTCTTTATTATAAAAATACTAATGTCAAGGCAAGTAACATTGAAAATAATTGTATTTTCATATGATCAGAAATAAGTAATATTATTTATACTAAACTAATTATTTATAGTAAACAGTTGTATTTTATATTTGGATTGACTGCGTCTAAATAAATATTAGCATTTATTTGATTTTATTAAAAAATTTTAAAGAAGATTTCTTCTTACTTTTATCTTAACATTCTATAAAAATGATTACGTAGATATTCTTTGTTCTACGTTTATTATAATGATTCATACAGACTATAAAAAAAATTCTTTTTTGTTTTTAGGCATTTTTTATTTTTCTATATTAAATTATATCCAACTGTGGTAGATAACAACCACTTTTTATAATAATTAAATATTATAAAAAAAAGCGTTTAAGAAACACAAAAAAATCGCACATAGAAAAACACGAGAAAAACATACCTATTAGACGTTCCTAATCCGTCGTGCACAATAACCAAATAAAGCCTATAGCGTCGTTGTGATTGCGAAGCTTGTACGCCTGCGTGTATGTGTGTGTAATTAACTATCCGATAGAACTTGCCGAGCGGAAATTTGCTAGAAAACAGCAACTAGTAATAATAAATATCCTTGCCGCTCGACTGATCACACAAACAAAGATCGAAATTCAACAGAGAAATTGTTTTGTCGATAAAAGTGAGAAACAAAGCCAGGTACGAGTGGAAGAGTTGTCCTCCTTGAAGAGATCGGTTCACTCACGCTTACGTTCCCGGCACTTCTGCGCGTTTGCCAGGGGTTTCAAACGATCGCGCGTACAAACCATCTCCCACCAAGTCTCCCTCTTTCTCTCTCTTTTTCGAGCAGCATATGAGTTTCCGGTTGTTGAACTGATCTTGCGTTCGGCTATGGGTAACTCGTTTGGTCAGATTTTATTTGATATGCTTGTACTTACCAACGAGTTTCTATTTTTGTTCTGAAGATGAGATTGAGAGTAGAATGTTCGAATATTCTAGTAACGTAGTATACGTACTTCTGAGAAAATTACGTTTTTGTGAATCAGTATTCTATGTAGCGTAGAAATATATCTAAGATTTATTTTGCCGACTCGATTCAGTAGAATGTTTCACAGTGATTTGCCATCGACCTGTTCATTTAAAAGGCTTCTCATTTTTTATTTCGAAGTTAATTGCATATAATAACAGATCTGTTTTTAAATAATATCTCGACGCAACTGCCATTTATCCTACTGACCACGTTTCAGTTGCATTGACGATCATTCATCTGTGATTTATTTAATAAGATGAATTAACTATCAAACTTGTTTCGTTGCAACAATACAATGTATTAACTAAAAGATAGTATTCAAATTTTTAAATCGTATGATGTATCTTCATTTTAATTTTTCAAATTTAATTGACTTTTCATTTTTATAAAAATTATTCAGTTTTCAGTATTCAAAAATTTACTTGAACCTCACACAAGAAGCCAAAATAGAACTCATTACTTAATGTTTTTTGTTAAAAGTGTGTCAATGAAAATTTCTTTGATACTACGTCGTGTATTAATCATGTATAGAACACACACAAAAAAACGAATGAAAAAGAGCAACACGGCTACGATCTCATGGTTCGATTTCAGACTCGCAAGTAGAGCAGCAGGTGAGCGTGCGAAATTTCGCAATCACCTTGACAGTAACAGCGCGCTCCTACTTTGGCGCCGTTATAAGACGAAGAAAAGAACTGACACTTGATGACTCGCCTGCATTGTACGTTTTTACTTTTATTTACATTCCATTGTAACAACATTTTGTTGTTTAGTTTTACTGTAATTGAATGTTGAAGTTAGTTGAAAATGAATTCGTTGAATATTGGAGCTTTCTACATTGATATATTAATGACTTGAATAAGTCAAATCGAGTTGTTCCAGTGTACTTTATGAAATAATCAATTCAAAGTCAGTTTGTAACGTTATACATATTTTTTATAAAATAAGATTAGTGGTCTGAACGATTATGAGAGCTTTTCGTTACTTAACAAAGTTGAAAATATATTGATAGTGTTAAAAGAAAACTATTTGCTTATTCAACTTTTTTGCAGGTAAAACACATTACATCCAGTCATTTTATTTACGAGTCAAGTATCATATTTGAAAAAATATAGAAATTGAATAACAATAGAATTCCGAGAAAGCCAATTAATAAATAACACGATAACGTTTCTTTGAACACATGTTTGTTAAATAGAAAAAAATTGCAAAAATTGCTAAGTCCAATATAAGCGAATTTCGGACAACATAAATATCAGTCCTTCAAAAGATGGTATTCCATGTGCACTGTGTACTTATCTGCTGGGAATTCATGCGTCCACGGCCTACTGACTATTCATGAAATAGTTTCCATTTGCGTAGCTATATAAGAGCTGCACGCATCCATAGTATGCAAATATAGCATAGTAAAACATAAAGAATGCGCAAGCTTCATTCAATTGGCTAACAACTGCGATTAAAGATTAGTTTTTTTAATGAAACTACTTGGGAAATTTGATATTTATCGGTAGAGGGAAAATCTCACTGGTAAACCGGATGTATCTTTAATTAGTCTAGCCTTGTAGAAACTTTTGAGAACAAAATTGCTTGATGGAAAAAAATTTACAGAGAAGGTTTTTGATGCGAAAAAAAAATTTTTTGCATTCCTAGAATGTTTTGGCCGTGAATAAAATTAATCACGATTAGTGGCTTTGAGATCGCTAATAAGAATAAATATTTCATAACCATACACTATTTTTTGTGTGTATCCTTAATTACATGCACACTTAGTTGCGTGCCTCATAAAGCGTAGCACTTTTTGATCTTGTCTATACACTTTAATATTGGTTTTATAATGTATTTTTTGATCGGAGAAAAGTAAAAAATGTTCTTGAAATTCATGCTTTGTCAATGATTTCTTTGACTTTTTTCACATTAACTTTTTTTAGATGTTTTTTTTTTTGACTCAATCATAAATTTTTGATTTACAGAAAATCACCAGATTTGTGGCGGTGTAACCTACTTCTTCACTTTTTTTATTGCTCCTTTATCACTGATATTGTAAGAGTAAATAATTTTTTCTTATTCAGGTGTTTGAATATACGTAGAGCAGTCAAGAGTTTTGGCACGTACGATGAATAACTAAATTTAATTTTCAACTATTCTATTAGTTGTATTCCGAGTTTCTTTTATTTTGATCTTGAGAAAAGGCATGTCCAGCTCCTCGTATGTTCATTTTCTGACAGAAAATTGTAGCGCGATATTATGCGTTTTCATTTCTTTGAACTCTGCATTATAGAAGAAAATAAAAACTTTCGACACACCTTTCACTAATTGCGATCCCACAGTCAGTTGAAAATTAATGAGTCGGGTGCGCGGCTGCGAGATCGAGTAACGGATTATTTAAACCAGTTTTTAGGAGACACGATAATAAATTGGAAACTAGGCAATCAAAATTCTTAAGACACCTCACGACTTTCGTTCGTAAGGAAAAAATTTTTGGCATACGCATAGAAATCGATTAGGTTGCAGGTTGCAGCAACGCGCCTTGTTTCGATAATCTCCAGTTTCAAGGCGTGAAAAACGTGCGAAGAATTATCAAGTAGTCTTTAGAAAAATTGAATTTTCTCGTTCGTCGTCATCGCTGGCGTTGTCTACTATAGTGGAATGTTTGACTCTGTGCAACAGTGCTTGCATAACCAGCGCTTGGTGCCTTTTACTCTCGTTTTGGTATGCTGATTAAGTTCAATTACAAAGCCCAGCTACGCGGATAAATTATTATCTCGAGGGCACATTAGTCGTGGGAATTACATATCGCATGTTTGATTGAGCGTAGAAAGGCGTACGTTTTGCGCGTGTACAATAAATTTTTTTCGTGAATTCATTTACATTGAGCAAATGTAGTATAGTGTTATGACATCGCGGGGATATTATTATTTAAATTTCAATGATCTAACTTCTAGTGGCTAATTAAGAACTGGTTTTACTCGATACTTTTATTATCAGTATATGGCTTTTATTCATGAGTTTCTGCTCGCTTGGAAAAATTATTTATAATGGAAAAACACTTCCTCTTCCTTGGTGTTGTAGCTTTCCAAATTACTTCAATAATTTCGGCGATGTGGACTGGAATATGTACGTTCAAGCCACAAACGAACCGTCGTTGCCCAAGAACATTAGGTCTCTGCAATGATGAATCAAAGTGCAGCCACTGGAAATCGAATTATTGCAAGAATAAACGAACCAAAAAAGCACAATAGATGAACGTTTACTACTAAAGTGTAAAGATTCCGATAATAATAATTCATGATTAGGGGTTAATCATTTATTCAAACGCATGTTTGAGAATGATCTCGAGTAAAAAATTATTATTGCACTTTTCTTTTTTTTAGAAACGCACATTCGCAAAAGTGCCTTTCTTTAACAAATCGACATATTTCTAACCGCAGCAGCGACAAGAACAAATTTTGCACGGGATAGTGAACAGAGAATTCATTTTTTTTCATAATGACGCAAGGTACGCAATTTCATTAATTTTTTTTTGTTTTTCGCTTTAAATAGGTTAATTTGTGCGTCATTAACAGTTTCTAAATGTAGGCATCGATGAAAGATCTCAATACTTAAGTCAATTTAACGATCTAAATAAAATATAATGCTATTCAGGAAATTTCCATTTCCATTTACAGACTGAGATAAAAACTTCATTCACATTTTTTTTTATATATATATATATACATAAGAAATGTATATATAGTGTCTTCGAAAAATGTAGTTCCATTTCAAGGAGTTGAACTTTATTTTGTAAAATAAAAATTATAAAAATTATAGCTTCTGCATGATATTTTTCTATCGAAAATACGTTTCATCTTAATATTATTAAATAGTTAGTGTTTTTCAATTTCAAACTTTTTGACTTTTACAATCTAAAACTAACTTGTATACAAAAATGTAACAATAGTCTATATAATATTCATCTACGTATAAAAAAATTGATTTTTATAAAAAAAGTCATAGTTATATAATCTTGATTGTATGGTTTGAAACAAATTGAAGATTCATTCCTTATTTTACAAAAAATATGTCATTCAGATGTATCTATTTGAAGAAACGATTTGAGATGAGAGTTGAGACTAATTGAATGAAATTACAAACTGTTAACCAATTGTTTCAATTAAAATATTTTCTTTGAATATCTTTTCAAGCACTATTTGTAACCTATTTTTTTACATAAACTTGACAATTCAATTTTACAAATCGGCAGAGAAGTTTTCCTTTTATTTTAAGTATTAAAAAGCAAATTTTTTCCAAAAGTCACAATAAAACATTAAAAATAAGTGAATAATTGTATAACATTTCAGCAAAATTAAGTGAACATCGGTGGTTCGACACATCATTGACATTCTATCAATTACATTTTGAACATACATTTGTTTAAATATATTCACAGGATGGAATAAAGCATCATATATATATATATATATATATATATATATATATATATATATATATATAAAACAAAGCACGTCGACCTGTGAATAAACCACAGTCGACAAGTGAAAATATATTGATTGGAATTTTGCAGATTTCGTTCAATGTCAGGCACAATCTCCAGCGACGATATAGGCCCGTGCTTCAAGGTGGACCGGAAGAGTATGCCGCTTCTTGAACTGATGACCTTACTTTATACTTGTTGGTGTAACGAAAGTGAATGGTTTTTATTTATCGTCCGTACGTTGAATGAAAAAGTACGTTGATCGCGAGAGAGTAAATTGTTTGTAACGCGGATGTGACGTTTGTAATGAAATTAAATTTGATTTTTTAAATGAGATTTTCATTGTTTTCTTTTCTATGAACAGTGTACGATCTTTTGATTCTTTAACAAAATGATAATAATTAACAAATGAAAAATCATTTGTCAGGTGGTGATTATATAATATAAATTTACTAATGTTAAAATGCAAAAATGGCATTATTCGCGTAATAATAAGAAAAGTGACAGTTTCTTTTAACTTTAGAATTTGTTTATTCTAAACATCACTGTAAAAAGCACTTTTAACAGGAGAAAGTTAAGAGATTGAAAGGCTATAAAGGCGCAATATTTGAATCGTCGAAACTGCTCATGTCGAAGCAAGTTAGTGGAAAAATAGATACTTGTTTTCATTTGTGCTTGATCTCTCACCATCGGGTCGCTTACACTTTCCTGAAGAGCAAAGATCAACGATCTGAATTTGAATATAAAAATTATTATTGCAATTGATTACTTGTAATTTCTTGTCAGTATTTTCGTTATTGATGTGAATTATTTTTTCGTTTTAATATCAAAATAGAAAATTCCGTTTTACGGACAATAAGAAAAACAATTTTTTTCGTAATTCAAAATATTTTAACGAATAAATTTCGAACGTAATAAATAAAAATATTAATACAAAATCAGTAGTTACCTCAGTACGTATGTTTACAAATTCAAAGAGAAATTAAACTTTAATATCAAGTACCCTCTTTTCCTTCTGTGCTTTCGGTATCAAAAAACGAAGAAGCAACGAGACAAATTCTTCGTCGAGCCATTGGCACTGAAAAATTCGATTGCTCGATACAACGAGCCTTGGTACAGAGACAACGTCGTCTCGTCGATTTCGAATACTTGATGTTCATATCATCGTACTTTGCTGCTGGTTCTGGTGATGATTTTTTTAGTGGCGATTTGATATTGCATCGTTTTGGACGATGGAATGAATTAGCTGTAGATCGAGCCATCTGGTAATATAATTTTTTAAGGTAATATAATGGGTATGCTTTATAACCTGATTCGAATCAGAGTTAAAACATCTAATCTTATTTAAATAAGTTGCATTTTTCAGACAGCTGCGTTGTATATGAATTAAAAAGTTAGAGAATCAATCTATCAATCTTTATTACAGAAACGACTGAAAAATAAGGTTATAAAAGTTGACAACTTAATTTTTTGGTTCGTCGAAGATCAAATGTAACGATGCTATTTTGAAAAATTTGCGTGAAACTTTTTCAAATACTCACTAGCGTCGTCGTATAAATGCAACACAAGTATGAAATGCAAGCTATGCAAATACCGACACCTATGACGTCAAACATCTCACATCTTTATAAAAAGTTGATTTTATATTTACTCGATTGTCATTTTCTCAAATATGAGTACGACACTATGAAAAAGAACGATAATACTAAATTTTATCAAAAATACTGTAAGGTTATATATAAAGTAATGAACGATGATTTCGGAGAATAAGAGTGAAATAGGCTAGAATTCGATTGAAACTAAATAGAACAGCCGAAATATCGATAATATATTGAATATCAAATTAAAATATCCATAGCTTAGTAAACGTTAAATATTTTTTTGCATTTACGTCAAATCAAACAAAATTAAAAACACTTATGAATAATGTAACTTTGAGTCATACTGTTTATAATGTAGTAGTGCTACAAAAATCTACCAAGGTTACAACACAGCACTGTACAAGAATAAATTATTTTGTTGATTTATTTCTAAAATTTATTTTTAAAAACTTTTATTTCTATTTTATACTTGAAATCCAATTTAAAAAATCACACAAATAGCATTAAGAATTTGCAACAAGATTTATTTCCATCTACGAGGAAACAGTACTTTAATTCATTATATATTTACGCAACATTTCAAGAAATCACTGATTTATTAGTTTACTTCAATCATTCAGACTTGTACTAAAAAATTTCGTACTAATTTATTGGTTCTCTTTGTCAAAAATTTTAGGTGAAGCCTCACGAGAGTCATTTGATTCCGCTTTTCGCTTGTACTCGCGCTCGCCTGTTACGTTCATACGGCTTGGTGGATATTCGTCAACTCATATTTCCGGGCCGCGCATGAAAGTATATCTGGACTTCCAGAAGAACAATTAAGTGGAGATAATTAAACAAAATACGCGCCAAAATAGATTTGCCGTGGTTGGGAGACATTCAAACTCGTACAACACGCACACAGTTTCTCTCTTGCTTTCAATTAATAAAGCACATACAGTTAATTGTAATTCTAATTGCACTTGTTTCACACATCTAACTCTATCTTTGGAAATCGAGCAACGATAAGAGAGAATCCTTAGTCAGTCATATCTTACAAAAGAAATTGATATTATTTGGATGATGAAAAATAGTTGCTACATTAAAACTTGAAAGTTTTTATCATAAAATTACTCGTTGATAATATACTTCGATAAATAATTTTTTTACACGTCATAATAACGCCAGAATAAAAATACACGTTAACTGATTGTCATGTGTTGTTTTCGACATTTCCTTCCTCATGCATTACTATTCATAACGTGTCAACAAGTAAAACAATTCCACCGCATGTGTGACATAGAATCTCTTGTCCGTCAAACTACGACGCAGCTAAAGCACCCGTATTGCCAGGTGCGCGTTCGATAAACTAACCGATACGTACGGCCGCCGTCGACCTCGTATTATACGAAACCCCTCGCGCGCGCTAACACAATATCGAGCCAGCTCCGTAATTTGTCTACTCCCCTACTTGGAGGGAAGCTCAAGCGAAGCGCGTGGGCGTGCAGCGCAAGCGCACTTACAAGCACAACTGCGGGGAAATACTTCTTTCAACGTCGTGTTCTCCTGCTTATAACTGCTGCCTGTTAAGGGAAGAGTGCCTCAAATTATTGAGGAGAGTAGCCGCTTTTTGGTCCAACATACCATTGCTTGTGGGAAATGTGCATATATTTCGTGCAACATTCAACAATCTTCTTCTATATTTGGTTGGCATAGATAGGATAGAGATTATTTTAATTATTGATGATTTTTAAAAAGAAAAGTTGGTGTGTCGTCTGCTAAACGAGTCAGACCGTCGACTTGTACTACTAAAAACTGCTGACGTATGGCTGAGCTTGCAACGGAGCGAGCTTTATCACTGGATTTTGAATAGCGCTAGGTGTTTTACTGAAAAATTTCATTGGATTTGAATGTTTGTCAGTGATTGTGAAAGTTCAGATCCACATGATCATAATAATTATTTAATTAGTTTTGATAGGAATTTTTAATATTTCGAGATGAAGATTTCCAGTTGGAAATGCTATAGTTTTATTTCTGATTTCTAAGTTGACTATATGGCTCTCTCCGCATAGTGAGTATTGAATATTATTTGAGAAAGAAAATTCGTTGGTTAAATTTATTAGCATTGAAATAAAATAAACGTAATAAAAGTAACACAATAATTCATAATCTTTCAATAATCAAAAATAAATCGTCAACACGTACTGCTAGGAAAAAATTTTACTTAAGCCGATAAAAGAAAAAGTAGTAAACAAAGCATACCCAATTAACAGAGCAAACTGGATGAAGGCGCGAGAGAGAAAGAGAGAGAATGAACTCTGTTGACGACATGTTGCCCTGTTAGAAAAACAACTGGGTGCTTTGAAGCTCGATTCAAGATCAATCCTGTTACTTGTCTACTGCAGCTTTGCGAGCTTAGAAAGAGCTTGAATATCCTTTTTTTTTTGAAATGTTAGAAAAGTTGTTTATGTATTACGAATTTCGAATTTTTGTATAACTATGAATTCGCAAAAGTATCATTTTCGTATTATATACATGCTTTGATGTTTATTATACTTTACGATACTACGATTTAATTAACGAACGATCTTTTACAAAAAAAAGAGCTTTCTCTACCTTTCTTCGTCTCTAGAAAAGAAGAGAGTATTCAAAGCAAAAGATTGTCCTGCTACCCTGTGCCTCGTAAAGGCAAACTTCCTTCCCACGCGAAACCCGTAAAAAGACGTTACGCGCGACCAACGTGGAAAATTATGACTGCCTGGTGGCGCGGATGCTTCTGGCGCTTGCCTGACACGACAGTGACGAGATTTCTACTGGTGAATAAGGCTGTGGTCCTGATCGCTTGGGCACTCGCCATGTTGGCCGTTGCATATAAGGAACGAAACAAAAAAATAATTGAAGAGGGACATAACAAATACGTGTGCATTCTTGATATCGACGAGCTGTATGTACCGTTCCAGGAAACTACACCTCTGCCTATCGCCTACTGTCCTAAGATAACGCTTCCTGCTTGCATCCGGTGTGCTTATGCCAGATGTGCGATATTGTGTTCTTTTATTTATATTATTTGTGCTGATGGAGTAGTGTGTTAATGAAGTAGTGTGTTAGCGTGAATTATTATTTTTTTGTCGGAAAGGTTCGTTTGAAAAAAAGAGATGTTCTCTAAGAAAATGATTGTTAAACACGAAATCGCAATTGCCTTAATTGGATCAAATAATGACATCTTGTTATTAATCAAAAATTTTCATTTTTAAATGATAATTATAAGATCGGTTTACTATAAATGACTTGACGATCGAATGAAGTTTATTGGTTGAATGTAAAGCTCTTGTTTGAATAATCCATTTTAAAACGACGTATATAAAAAACACTTATCGTGATCGAAATTGTTTTTTTTAAATAGATACATAAGCCTGAAAAAAAAAATTAAGCCATTAATAAAAACTATTTTGCTTTACATTATGTAATTAAATATTTTACAACGCTCTCTCATCTACAAAATTGTCGACTGCACAAGTAGTTCTGCAACCCTGGTAATAAAGGGGCGCATAGGTGTCTCTCGGCGCGCCAGTTCGGGGTAAGAATGTGGATGCGGCGCCCTTCAGTACTACCCCACGCGATCTTCGTCTTCGATGCGTTGATCATTTTAAAAACATATCTTATAATATTGAGATCGGTAACGTGATTTTTCGATGAAAAAATATCAAGAGTGATTGTTTGTAGTCCTACGATGTAGAAATTTTATTTACTCTGTAAACGCTTATTTAAAAAAATATATTGTCGCGAAGCCGAGGGAGAGTTGGTAGGTTACAATTCATGATCCCCTAGTAACGAAGGGGCACAAAAGTTGTCACTCAACGTTCGGTCAGACCGCGAGTAAACTGCTGCTACTACTCTGGCTGTACTACTGGAAATTACTCTTTCAAGATTATCCTACTTTAAACGTGACTTTTATCATTTTCTATTTTAACAATTGTTTAAAGGATTTTGGCATAAGTCAAATGTGTTGTAGTTTGATTGAATTTCTTATATTAAAACTTTGAAGTAAATAAATTACGATAGTAAGAACTAAAGAGCTAGTGTCAATGAATACATATACAAGTAAATTATTTTTATACAAGAATAGTAAAAAGCTGCATAGGCAGTAAAAATATATTTTCATTTTAACAAATGTGAATATGTGTATGTTTTAATATTATAAACATTATTCTTGGACATTTTACACCAAGTAGTAAAATAGTCTTACTTAATTAATTGGTAATTTTTGAGAATTTATCGTTTTTCTTACAAAAAAAACTTCGTGGTAGATTACGAAATAAACGTCAAATATAGTAAAACTAACCGTAAAATAAAAATTAATACATTATCACGTGATGTTTTGATTTGATACGAGATCTGACATGCCTTCCTTAATTATTCTCAAACTTTCTAAATCGGCATTTACAGTTTCAATCAGTTGTGTCATTCCTTGCTGCTCCATGTTCAAATACTGAAATCACGTGTAAATATTATTAAAAAAATGAAATAGCTAAAGGTCAAACTTTTATCAGAATATAATTTGTTAAAACTTACAATTTTTATGTCATCTTGAGCGATTGGATCCATTGTATATCTTTCTTGATTTTGTGTGTCTACATGTCGTCTCATTCTTAATTGAGATAACATTTCACTGATCCTACCTTTGAATTGCGTTGGAGCACTAATTTGTGAGTGCATTGCTTCAAATTTATTTGTCAATATTTCTTCCTCTGGTTGTAAGGAAAATCCAATTTTTCTAGTTATCTCTTGCCTTACTAAAACCTATATAAAAATTAAAAAATAGTATTATCTGTTACAGGTGAGTTGTTTTAATAATAAACTTTTAATTTACTTGCAATACTCTGTGTTGAAGTTCCAGTAAAGTTCTTCTGTGTTCTTTCAATCTAGCTTGTGTACCTGTCTGTTGCCTCTGTAAATGTTGTATATCCTCTGTAACTAAATCAAGAAAAGCACGATGTCTTGCAGTTTCTTCTTCTCGGCATTTCAACCGATGTTTCACCTGTTGAAAACCAATCATTGGTACAGGTATATAATGTTCTGGATCGGGATTATCAAGCTGAGCTTGTTTCCACAGGCGAGGATCAATTGAGCATGGAGGGTTTTCCAAGTATTCCTTTAACTGAGCAGGGTCTAGCTTTATTTGTGGAAATACATTTTCAACTCCCATTTGTGTAAGCTGTTGCTTTTGTATAGGTTGGGTCAAAAAATTGAACAATTCAATTGCTGGAATTTTCCTCAATGATCCTGTGGCTCCTTTTTCCACAACATAAATTGATACTTGACCTTTAGATTCTCCGATAGACTTGATATTATCTACTGTTACAGAGAGGTTGGGTTTATTTCCTAAAACTTGATTTATCGATGCTATCAATTGTTGCTTCTGATCTTTCAATTCTTGTTCTTTCTTTGAGAAACACAATGCAACTAAACCATCATTGTTGTCAGCATCTGGCATTCGGCTATATCCAATAGCTTTAAATCTACATAATGGATTTTCTTGGTTCAGTTCAATTGGAGGTGCATTTGGACAGTAATATGCTTTCCCTACTCCCCATAAAGCTTGAATCAAATTCCACCTAGCAATAGTGTTATCTCTTTCATCATTAAACAGTTGACAGTTGAACACAGCATTGTATAATGCTTCTGAAATTGTATTTGTGTTTGGCTGTATTTGCTGTTGTTGAAGTTGTTGAGGCTGACTTAAGGTAGAACCAAAGTTAGCGAAAGTGTTCCCTGAAAATTAACTCATAACATACATATCAGTTTTTCTAATACACTTAAGATGTAAGATTAGAAAATGTTGTTACCAGTATTGAATCCACCGAAACCAGTTGTATTGGTTGTTACTGGTTTAGCTCCAAATGCACTAAAGCTACCTCCAAAAACTGAAGTCTGCTGCTGAGGATTAGTTGTGCCAAATCCTCCAAATAATGGAGCAGAAGAAGTAGTAGATGTTGAAGTTCCAAAACCACCGAAGGATCCAAAACTTGAATTACCAAGTGAAGTGACTGGTGCTGTTGATCCCAAACCAAAAGTTGACATAGAAGATGCAGGTATAGCACCAAAGCCAGTGTTGGTACCAAATCCAAAATTATTTGATGGTGTGCTAAATGTACTTGTAGTAGTTGCAGCTGTAGCTCCAAAGCCAGTAGCTGCTGGCGTACTAAACCCAGTGCCAGTACCAAATGCTGTAGTCTGCTGGGTAGCTGGAGTTCCAAATAATGATTGTGTAGTGGATGCTGGTGTGCCAAACAACGATTGGGTGGTAGTTGCTGGAGTTCCAAATAGTGGCTGTGTGGTTGTTACAGATGGAGTACCAAATATAGACTGAGTTGTGGCAGTAGTTGGAACTCCAAACAAGGATGGAGTGTTTGAAGCAGCTGGTGCACTAAATCCAAAACCAGTGCCAGAAGTACCAAATTGAACTGAATCCATGTCAAAAATATAATTTGTTAGTAAAATAAAAACAGAGTCTTTTAGTTAATATAAGTAATAATTGAATAATTTCAATTTCATGAAGTATTTTATGAATAAAACTTGCATTCTTGTATTTCAATTGAAATGATTGAATAGTGATAAACAAATGCATTATAACCTAAAAGTACGTAATTACAAGTTACCTGGTCTTATGGGAGTTGCTACGCCAGGTGTAGCTGTACCAAAGCCAAAAGTAGTATTTGCAGCAGGTGTTGACGAACCAAATCCACTTCCAAAAGACATATTTATGATTAATTTAAAGTAACTAGTCTTGACAGTTGATGATTTCCTCTGTATTCCCGCCACTAATCTCTGCCGCTACCCACATGTATAGGCATGTGCAGCGTTGGGTCAAACGGTTTAGAACGCACTTCAGTGTATTCGACTTCGCGGTCGCTCAAAAGCTAAGGTTATTCTCCGCCGCACTCGCAGATAATTCAATTAGTTTGTGAATCCGGATTAGATTCTCAACGAGAGAACTTCTTTTTTCTTATCTGTTATTATTTGTAACAATAATTATTCTTAATAATAATTTATACTTTGCAATATTTTTCAATTTATATTATTTCTTAAAACAAAAAAAAAGCAGTAATAAAAGTTCTAATATCGTACTTTATTTTTTAATTTATAGATTATATTTCACTTTACAAATTAACAACATACTTGTACTAAAATCTATGTAGCAACATTTGTTATTTCATGTTATTTTTTATGGAAACTGAAAATCTTTTTATTGTTCTTGTCATAGAGCTTTTTATAGAAAATAATGTTTTCTATTTATCCCAAAATAGTATTTCTTTAGATTGTTACTAAATTATTGTTTCTCGTACTATATACCATGATAAATATAAGGATTAAGAAATAAAAAATAGGAAAAATAATACGAAAACACTGTTGCTTAATTTAAAAATTATAGATTGTTTATTTATTAAATTCAAAAAGTAAGAGATTCTAATGAAAGAGAGCAGCGGCATATAAACCCCCGATCATAAGCGAGAGAAAAGCCTTAAAAAAATTAATTTACAAAAAAAATAAATATAATTAAAACAAACTACATAAATAAAAAAATTGGCTATTCTATGGTAAATTTATAGATAATTTAATGCAAGAATGCTTATGTTAACTATTTATGGTACCCTTTGAATTTCATGTTGTGCTAGTTCAACATGAAGTTGGTTTTTTAAATCTTTTAAAAATAGTAGAAATGCATATTACTGTAAAACGATAAATATTGTCTAGAGTATTAAGCGAACGCATCACTGAATGCGAAAAATAATTTAAAAAAATTGTTATTCACATTCAATTTTTGAGTAATTTTAGAAGATGATACGATGAAAAAATTAAATGAATTATCTCGCAATTAAAAAATTAACAATGTACTCGTAAGATTCGTGTTTCTCACGCGTTGCGTCTGTTAAAAATCCCAGAAAATAGTCCAGACAGCGTGGCTCCACATTCTTTAAACGAGTCGTAATAAATCTATGACCTATGGAAAAGTTAGTCAGAATGACGACGGCGACAGGTCGCGACGGAGTTGAAAAGAACGCACCCAACGGGGGATCTGAAAATTCATGGATGCGTATATATTGGGGCTAACAGAATAATGAGCTGTGATTGTCGGCTTTTGGCATCTTCGACAGCTTAATGATTGTTTTCTAGCAAATTGAATGTTTAATTCCTCTTATTATACGGAGATAAATTTACGTGTTGTTAGATTTTTCCTATAAAAAAAAATTACGAGTCAAGATGTCAATATCAAATGTTGTAACTTGTAATTGGTTTATACAAATAAAGAGTGCGAAGCTTTGAATTTTCGTATACTTTGAAATAGTTGTATTATATATATCTAGAAGAGTGTGATTTATATTTAAGCATTCAATTCTTTAATTAATAGCGTTAACTTTACATTTAATTGGAAGAGGGAGAAAGCAAATACAATAAAATAGAAAAAAATTCAATTTCATTATTTCTATACTGTAAAGTAAGAAATATGGGTCAACGGAAACTAATTGTCAAAATATTAAACCCATTAAATCTGAAGAATGTTCAAGGGTGTTTTCAACACAAAAATACACGAAGTGTATTATTTTATAAAAACTTTTATAAAATAATACGTTTTATAAAAACTAATAAACGACTAGGAGAAAACCACAACTATTAAGGGTTTAGTATTGCATAATAGTATAATAGTTTAGTATACTTTATCAATCGTAGGTTTAACGAAACTCTTAAATAATTTTTCTGATACATCTTAAAATTAGTAGAAGTTCATTGATGTAGTGGCAACATAATTTATTCATATGTGTGTATATGCTATTGCAATTACCTTCTAATTGATACCCAAATGATCCAACAAGGTAATAAATAACTGAGAAAACATAAAAAGAAAACGTGCTAAACGCATTAAATAACGCTAGTATTTAACATACACTCACATAGAATTTGTTACCAGTTATTTATTCCTCGATATTTAAATGGTGGATACAAATAATGTTGAATTTTCATCAAAGTAATTTTTTTAAACTACTCTCACGTAACCATAAATAAAAATTTTCATAAAGAGCACGAGAATAAGATTTAATTTTTTTTCTTTTTCTGAAAAATCAATTTTTCATTTTGATTTCTTAAAGTATTTATTTATAAAAGAAACAAAGTCATTGAAAGGCAGGAAATGACCACAATATATATACCTTAGAAGCTCACCCTAAAAAAAGCAAACCACTGTTGTAGCAGCGCTTACCCCTCGCTATTAAAAAAAAAAAAAAGGAAAAATAAAAAGGCGTCCTCGAAAAAGCCACAAAGTGGTTTGTAGGCCCCGTATCCATGACGACTACGGGAAGAAAGACACAATTAGACCATTCGCCGCAAGTAAACGTTGACATGATCGATCACGGATATGTCTACATATGAATACACACACACACACACACGCGCGCGCGCGCGCGCGCACACACACACACACACACAAGCGTACGTGTGAAGCCAAGAGATAGTTGCGACACAATAACTTTAGGCCCAGGGGGATAAATAAATCAGCGCTCCCAGTTGGTGGCCCCCTTTCTGAATCGCACAATATTCCATAATGATAGATATGCAAGTTATATCTTTCTCAAGCGAGGGAGCCGTTAAGTGCGGTATCTAGAAAAATTATTTGCGGGATAGAGGAAATGTTGAATTATTTGTAATTCGTTTAATCTAGTATGGTGTACAAAGATTGATGGATAATACTTGTAAATTTTGAAACATGATTTGGATTTATTCCACTAGTAGATTCTATCAATAAAGCATTTAATATGCAGTTGAAAACCTAAATAAATTCATTTTGAATAACGTTTTGAAATTAAGTCATTGTTATTTTTTAAAAGCAAGAGGCGGTAAATCAATTCAAGAATTTAATTTATTAATGTATTCAAATTATAATTTAATTACAAATACACAAGTGGATATTACCACTAGAGGTGAAACTATACAAACAAGACAAAATCTATTATACATGCCATAGTATTTCATAGTATACCATACCTATACGTTCAGTCGTAGTTGTCAAAATCCTTTTACAAAAAAGAGAATCTGACAAAGCGAAGCCAGTTCATTCGTGATCTGATTGGCTAAAAGATAGTTATGTGACCAGCTGTTATGTACGATAGTACATATATGTTGCGTATGCTCATGAAAGATTAGTGCGATTTCCGTAGACGATTAGACGTTTGAAAAGTATCAGTAACGTTGGCATGAATTGATTGATTTAATCATATGAATCTCAAAATAAAAACCAACTGATACCTTCGATATAGAAATTGCACTTTACTCTGGGTAAGAGTTTATCTTTGAATAGGCAATAAAAGATGTAAATTGACGAATTATTAAATATAATAAAATATTAAACAGTGATATTGGTTGTATTTAATTACATAAAATATAAGAAAATTAAAAAAATGCATTAATTACAACCATGGTAGACACCGAAGTATGTTATTTGTATCGTGAAGGATACGATTATACAAAAATATAATGTTTTTAGAACTTATATTGCATATTTTTCATCATTTTTTTGAAAATTTTCACTTTTAATGCTTTTTAAACACAGAATTTCAGACGATAAAAATTTAAAACTTTATTGATAACATTTTAAATCATGAGTATATAACTGCATATTTATTTACCAATAAATCATATCGTCGGCTATATCTCGTATAATTATAGGAATATTAAATGCATATTGAATTACTGAATGTTCAATTTCGCCAAGAAAAATTTTGATCTATATTTATGTATTAAAATAAATGCGAAAAAAGGCGAAAAAAATCAACGCGTGAAGCGCGCTAAATATCACTTGTTATTTTAAATAGATGAATAAATGCTGAATGTGTCGAAACAATATCATAAAAGACATTATTAAAAAACATACATAAGTACTTATAACTACTTATTGTATGTCTTAAATTACTAATCTTATGAGCTCATCCAAAAATTCAGACAATCAAATTAATCACTATCACTCATTCATATCGCTGTGGTTCATATGAGATTCTGAGCACTTTTTCTCCATTCAATGTGTGCTTTCTTCTCATTACACAATTATATGATATGATACATTCAATTTTCGCACGCCTCCACGAATATTTTGCTATAAACAATTGCGCGATTGGATTATTAGAATCAATGTATAAATATTTATGTTGATAATAAAATAGTAATAAAATAACCTTTATATGGTCTGATGTGGGAAAAACGTTAAAATAAATGTGAAGTATATTTTTTACAATGTCAATTGCTTTTTTTTTATTACAATATTCATTAATTAATAATACGCTATTTGATAATGATTACACAGTGAGTTAAGCAGTTTGATAGACCGGTTCAGATAAATAATTACCACTAGGTCCATAATTACAGACAAGGTAAAATAGATTGGCATAGCCATTTTTGTATTTGGAAACACCACATCCGATTTTAGTCGTCTTTGCCCAGACTAATTGAGTGTAATGTCCAATCATATTACCTCCTGCTCCTTTATTACTAAAATATTGGATATTTTTTTTATTTTTAAAAATTTAATGAAAGGAGTGTAAGTTAAAAAAAATTATTTCAATATTATAATCCAGCAACATTTGATCATTATTGTAAATTGAATAAAAAAAATTGTTTACTCACATGAATCGCGACACTTGATTTCTGTTAAAATTCTTCACTTCGTTGTACCAGTCCTGTACTATAGATTCAACATTAATACTGCTCAGATCTCCAGTTGTAAAGCGTAAACCGATGTTTTGACCAATGGGATAACGATCTAAAAAGAAAATAAATAATTAATCTGAAGAAAGATTAAAAGAATCGTCAAAATGATATGTTTTCTTACCAATATCTCTACATGAGTCATGTCCCCAGGTGCATTGATCAGCCCATCTTTGAGCAATTGATGCGATTTCGTCATCCCATTCCTCCAATTCATTAATGATATTGTAATATTAGTTTTGTTGTTATTTTATTTTATGACTAAAAAGTTGTTGAACGAGGAGATTGGAAACCTACCAAATAGGGCATGTATTTTGCACGAGGTTGAGGTCCAGGCATACCCTGAGTTTCTTGTCCACTAGCAACTTTATGTCTCAATCGATTGTGTAAATCGATAATTCTATGCTTCTCATCATTCGACAATCCGGATCCTTGGTATCCAGTACAATAAGCTGACGGACCGGGTCGCTAACAAGGTATAAGCATAATATTTCAGCAACACGTTAAATCAGAATTAATATATCTAGGTCAATCCACATCAAAAGTGTAGATCATTAAAAAAATCATGGGTGGGCTCAAAATTTTCGTCTTACACTCTACTTTTTTTGCAATGTGGCGATTTTGAAAAATCTAAGATGTCGGCTCTAATATGGCGGTTTAAATCTAGAGATTTTATAAAAAAATTTCAAAAATCGATTTTAATTCATTCAATTGTGATTCTAAGCATTTTTTTATGCTAGAAATAAATTCAGCGTTCAGCTTTACATAGGATTATAGTATTGTACTCTAGTACTGCACTTGGATTACAGAATTACTAATTGATTAATGTTGATTGGTGAAGAAATGAAGATACTCATAAGTATTTCGAGTCACTGAATCCAAATATGATGTCCGTTTGACCCTATGATCAAGGTTATTTGAAGGTAAAATTGGGAATATTTTTTATTTTTTGATAAGATTAGGACACCCACAAGCATTACGTGTTACTGAATCCGAATCCGACTTGACTTTAATTGAGACTTGGCATAAAAAATACTTAGATTCACAATTGAATGAATTAAAATTGATTTTTCAAAATTTTTTATGAAATCTGTAGATTTGAGGCGCCATATTGGAGCTGCCATTTTAGAGTTTTGAAAATCGCCATATTGCAAAAGAAAGTAGTGTAAGATGAAAATTTTGAGCCTATCCACGATGTTTTTGGCGATTTACAATTTTGAACAGAACCATTATCCGTTTGACGTGGATTGACCTTTATAAATATTTAAGTAATCTAAAAGTATGTGCAAATCTATTCTAACTTACCGAATAAAGACAAGTTGTGTGACTATTATAATCGGTCCACGAATTACCATAACGACACCTGATATGACAATAGTTAGAAGCAGTTGATAGTGTAGTTAGCGCGGTCATCAGCACAATAAATATTGTTGTACTTGTTATCATTTTCATATTGTTCTTTAAGTTTCTTCGCGGACTGATTTTTAGAATACTACTTTTGCTCTAACTTCGTTTGCAAGTTTTATACGATAAATTTGTCTGCGTCAGCACGGCATTCGCTTGACTTATCTTATCCACATTACAGGTCGACAGTGTTTGATTTATTCACACCAATAGACTTTTCACAATAACTTCTAATTCAAAAGAAGTCCACATTTTTTTTAAACGACCAAAGAATTAAATTGACTGGAAATCCCACAAAACAAGTCTTATCGCAATGACGTCGGAAATTGTATCAAACTTTCCAATACTTCCGATGCTTCACATTAGTCCCAAGAAAAATAATCTGTTAGAGGGATGCCTTATTTGTACATTAGGATATACTTATTTTCTTTATAATCTCAATTAAAAATTTTGGCCAAATATTTGAACATATATTAATCGATATCAGTGAAGTTTATTTGCATGAAAAATATGAATCGGTCCCACCCGGTGTTGGATTAAGATAGTTTTTCCTCCTCGAACCGCTCAGTTCAGATCGTACGAGAGATGTGTAATATCGATATAGCGGTAATTTAATTCATTTTTTTAATTTTGATTTTGATTAGTTTACTAGCATATGTTGAAATAACGTGGCTGTCATTATTTTTTAGCCAAAGGGAATGAGCTTCAAAAAGACTAAATCTATTTTTCAAAACGTTAATTTTAAGATTGTATTAAATAAGCACAACAAATAATAAATTATATTCAATTTATTGATTTATAAGTTCAGTAACGTAGGTTTTAACGATGATGTACGACAAAGCAAAAATCAAATTAACGTAAAATTTCTTCTGTCATCTAAGGTTAATTTTTTAATTTTGATATTATCTATAATATACTCAACAATAATAATAATCAATATATTTTTTGATCAATATATACAATTAAACGATGATATATGCAATTTCTTCTACTGATTCATGAAAGTGCTTATCACCAGGTACGTAAATACAGACACGGCAAATATTATATTACGACACAAGTGCGAGAAAGTAGATTCTCATCTCGTGTGGCGTTTATGTGTACTTTCCTTGTTAACATCTGGTAGTACCGCATTTAACTTTAGTCGATTTCTTTCAGACAATATCACAGTAATGTTCAATCATTTTATCTCCGGCTGATGAATATCTACGAAATTATTAAATATTAATGTAAAATCATATGGAGTAATAAAATTTACAGAAATTAAAAAATTAATTATATTTGTTATTCTGCGTTACTTGATCGTACTTAACACTAATATATTATTTAAACTTAAAACAAAACAAAAATCCTGATCATAAAAAATGGTTTAATACAATACAAAAATATCTATTTCCTTGTAGAGGAAACTTTGTTTACATGAAAAAATTTTTTAACGAAAATCTCTTTAGAAGTTTGTTCAAGGTTATCAGGGGTTTCAAAATGCAATTTTTACCAAATGTTTGTGCGTGTGTGTATGTATGATATGTATATATGTCGTTGTCAATAACTCCCGTTCTATACTGTAAATTTTGCCGTCTAAAGGTTTTTGCAATGTGTTTTTACTAAGTGAAGGATGGAAAAAAAGATTCATTCAAATCTATCAAGTAGTATGATCAAAAATCAAATTTATGTGATTTCAAAATATTATAAAATTTGGTTTTTCAATTATTTTTGATCTTATGCATGAAGTTCGTTTAATTTCATGTTAAAGTTTTGTAGTATTTTTATGTTCCTTTCATTTGAAAAAAAAAATCATATCACTTACTACTCACGTTTTAGAGTTAGGTTGTAAAATGTTAAAAAAATCATATTTTAAAATTAATGCATGAAACTTTTTCGGAATTCTACTCAAGGTGTCTGATATTATTAGTGAAATATTCTGTAAATTTAAAATCTTTGTATCCAAGAGCAAGAAAATAATTTTGGTCTAAAAATACTTTTTTTTGTTTTTACAATAACGGGAGTAAATTTAATCGAATCGACTTGAAATTTGGTATAAATATTGCTCATCATAAACAATGAACCAAATTGTTTGTACAGATCATTCGGACTAATGGTATCAGAAAAAACATCTATGAAAAAAAAATTAGAAATTGAATTTGGTAACGAGGAAGCTAACTGCCAATGAATTAGCATCATATTTAAAAAACTTAAAATATTTTACAATAATATTTTAAAATATAGCACGTGATGTCAACAACCAGTTGTAAATTTAGATGTATAAAATAATTTACTCGCGTGCATGGCAATTGATGTTTGTTAAAGTCTCTCACTTTTTCATAATTTCAATCTTATATTTCTCTTATTGTTTGCGTTGATCCAGAAAACATTTTAACCATGACAAAACGATCTTGAGAAAAAACGAATAAATAAGTTAAAGTTAAGAAAAAATGGGAAAAGACAATAAATCTAAAGTATTATGAATATAATGCTAATAATCTACGTTTCTACATACGTTATATACTATTTTACATTTAGCTGCCAATTTTTTGAGCAACAGTGCGATCGCGTCATTCCAACCCTTGAATGCAATTATAACGTAACATTTAATATTTTTGGTTATTTCAAACCGCGATGATAAGATGGATTAAACAAACACTTGATTACATACCAAATTGGGAATATAATTTGTATAATGATGAGGTCTTGAATTTTTTATCTGCTGGCAACTATTTTTCACAATTTATTATGTAACTTAATGATGATATCGTTCTTATTATCTTATAATCCTGAAGAATAATAATCAATGCAACAAGTAATTGAACCGAGATTTTAATAACAAAAAAATTGTTTTTTTAGTAATGAATAAAATCTAATAATATTAGCATTATGGTAATATTTTAATGGTTCATAATTATATGCACACTAACTTACTGAATAAATACAAATTGTATAATTAGTACCACATATTTTCACGGTATAGTTACAACCACTTGATAGCTCAACCAACATTATCTACGACACTAATAACGTTGTATCTGTTCTATTGATTATATATTCATATTAATTTTTTACAAAAATCATGTCTAAAAGTGATTGTTGATATAGCTGAAAATTTTATGAGAATCTAAATGTAACATATTTCAATTTTTCTAAATCTTTCACAAGTATTTTTTTTAAATGGTCTTAAAAATATTTTATTCATTATATTGGAAAGTGACTATTGAAATGGCTTTGAAGAAGATTAGTTTGGTACTGGTTTAATAATATTATTTGCTTTTCAAAGAGACGAATTATTCATAAACATAATTTTTAAAGAAAAATATATTTTATTACGTAAGTATACTGTTCATAAGTATAATCTTCATTTTTATAATACCATCTTATTGCAGTTAAAAGGTAACGTCTTAATTATAAATACACTAATGTCATAAATCCTAACATATATGAGTTATTATTATTTGTCAATACACCTATTTTATAAATTATAAAACCGTTTACAATATAGAATAATTTATTACACTTACTTATCTTTATTTTTTCAGTATCTGATTAAAATAATAATGACTAATTTATCTCATAAATTGGTTCACCAAGAAAATTGCCTGTTGGTCCGTAATTACAAACAAGATGAAAACGATTAAATCTTCCGTCGTTGTATTTCACTGCGCCGCAGCCGATTTTTGTTGATTTTGCCCACACTAGTTGTGTATAGTGTCCAATTGCTTTCCCGTTTGTACCCCTGTTACTGCAAAATAATATTAAAAAATTTTTTCTTTTCATTAGTATTATGTTAACTTTATAGCATTGAAAATTACTTGAAACTTGAGACATTATTTTTGTTCATATGATCCACTTCGTCGTACCACATTTTTACCAGTTCTTCGACTTTTAAAGTGTTAACGTCACCCGTGGTAGCGATATAAGCAATATTTTGTCCGACTTTGAATCGTTCTGAAAATTAGATTACCAAATCATAAATTTTTGTAAATCTACATTTTGTAGTAAATTATAAAAAAATACATAGAAAATAAAACCTAATCTTGATCGTATAGCTCCGTTTTTTATATTTTTAACAAACTAATATATTTACTCACGAACATCTCTGCAGGTATCGTGACCCCAAGTACACTGATCAGCCCATTTTTGGGCAATGATTGCTAATTCATCATCCCATTCCTAAGATTATATTATATCATGTTAATTACTACATAATTATATTAAGTTATTATATGATTCATAAGTAATTAACATTTGTAATGAAATTACAATACATACAACATATGTCATGTTCTTTGCCGGAGGTTGAGGTCCTGGACTTCCTCTTGTTTCCTTTCCACTAGCGACTTTCTGCCGATACTCATTATGTAAATCAACGATTTTTTTCTTCTCTTCGTAAGTTAAGCCTGATTTGATGATACGTTTACAATCCGATGATAGTCGAGTCGACTGTGTTCAGAAAAATAATTATAAAACCTTATCATCTTTATATTCTTCTCATCCTTAGAAGCAGGTAATGCATCAATCGTCTTGTTACTTTTGTGAAAAGCTGTTATGCGACGATCATAAAATTTACGTAATTCTAAGTATTGTTTTGAAATAAGTCTATTGCATAAGTGACAGAAAAAGTATTACAACACTGCAGTTAAATTCGCCATTAAAGTGTAGTCCATAAACAAAATGCGTATAAATGTGTATAAATAAAAAAAACCTTGTATTTGCTTGCATTATACCAACATAGTTTGTATATTGGTGTATGTGATTATTGTACTGAGAATATTTAAATCATAAATTTATAAAACTAATGTTTGTATTTTCTCAAAAACAATAATATTACAAGAAAACAGTTCTTGAACAGTTTTTAAATAAAAATTTAAATAGTATGGCTATTATTTATAACTGCAGTAATGTGACCGTGGCTGGTTCATGCTTTTTATAAGTTTTGATGTGAGCGTATTCAAACATAAGATTATCATAACATAATTTATAGGCATCGAATCATGCAATGAACTTTTTTTGTTTCTCGAATAATTATTAAAATGAAAATTACATACAATTGTACATATTATTAACATCACAAAACAAAGGCCATAGCGAAAATAACTTACAGTAAACACGCAAGCAATATGTGGCTGTTTACCACAGCTTACAATTCGGCAATAATCATTGTCGGCCAATGACACATAGACACAAAGCACCATGACAACGAACACAATCATCGACCTTACCATTGTTATATGTGTTTACCAAAGGCTATTCGCACGCACTGACTGCAAACACTTTGTGCTAGTATCGCCGATAGCTACGGCTTATATATCAAGCTAAAGTGTTCTTTTTTTCTTCTACTTTTATTAAGCTGACCAGTATCTTATCGCGCTTACGGCTATTATCACGAGTGACGCATCTTTCTCGACGCTCACGGACTGCAGGTAGACTGGTTGAGGACTGCTGCTGTTTTGTATTTTTTCCTAATACTCTAACGATCCATTTTGTAGGATTTTTTTTTCATTATTTATAGTTGGCTAATTGTACCGTAAAAGATATTTGTTGAAGATTACAGGTGGTCACCTTGAAGATAGGAGATTTGACAATCGGTTATCGACAGTTTAGCGTAGAAATTTTATCAATAGAGAGATTAATTTTGAAGGATAATGTTTATTTAATGACATTGAAAGAATACGAATAAATAGTCATAGTTATTAAAGAATAGAATATTTAATCCATCTGAATATTATATTAACGATTGATTTAAATACCAAGCCTATTTCTAGATTTGCATCTGGTAACAAATTTGTAAACTGGAAAAAATAAGATTACAAGCATTTCATTTTTATTATGGTTCAATATAAGGTTTGTGTATACTAATAAATTTTCAAATCATATCAGCAATTAAAAATAGCTTTGACTATTATGTACATGAATTTTATGATAACGCTTTTAAATCCTGAAAATATCACTTGAGCCTAATCTTTTATTACTCAAGATAAAGGAGTAATGGCAGATTACAATTACTGAGGAAATAAGTTATGAATCATTTGACTTACATGTATTAACTGAAATAGGATTTCTATGGGTAAAAGACATATTTGAATTATAAGTATATACATTATAGCTGATTCGATTAACAGATACCAAACTTAATATCATAAGTATGTTTCAAATTTAACTTTACTAAAAAATAGTAATAGTAATAAGGTCATTTAAAAAAGTGGTAGATAGCATTAAAATTAAATATGATCGAAAAACGACGATAGATGAATTTATAGATTTACTAGAAAGTCTATGCATAATTTTAATGATAAGATGTAAATTGACAAGTAACCAAATATTTTATAAAATATAAATTTATGAACATATATATTGATCAGAAAAAAAAATGTACAGTATACAGTTAGAAATATACATAATCAGAAAATATACGAATATAGTGTTTACGGTATTTATTTAAAAAGTAAATCCAATTATTTATTTATTTAAAATTTTGTTTGCATCTATTTTTTAGACTGAAATTTTCAAGGATCTCCATATGAATACTGTAGTTTCGTGAATTCATTGAAATTACTACACAGTTACCTTTGATTTTCGACTAATGTCTAAATTATGTGTGTAGCATGATACTCCAATTAAATTATATATTTAAGTTTTGTCAACGAAAATAGACTCTTCGTTGGTTTTATATAATAGTTTTCCTCTACAGTTGGATGGTTCGTAATTGCAAGCTCAATTGGACTTATTTTGTCCGTTCGCGAGATATTTCATAACATCTCAACCAAAAAACTTGGGTTATAGATTATTTGTGTCGCTCACAAAAATCTAGATATTTATAAAAAGTTGGGTTAGGTTATATGAAAATTTCTTATATCAAGAAATGTGTTACGAAAAATGCTTGTTGTTCAATTACAAAGGTCAACTGAAAAATTCAGAAATCTTTTCTAGTTGGTTGACTTTGGAGACACTTATGAGCTCAGTGCAATGGCCACCCTTAAGTTTATTCTCGAAATACGCCCTCATCGAAACATTTCGCACGATAAATTATAACCGAGCCTTCCTTTCGCGCCCGTGTGTTTGATATATGTTGGGCATTTCAATGCCGTCTTCATTTGTCGCCCGATCCATTCAGTTGCATGACCGCAGGAGATGCATTTTTTTCTTTCGATAGTTTGATTTATTTTCTTCATTTTTTTTAAAGGATGTTGTATAAAATATGAATTTTTGAGGAGAAATTTTATTCAAAATAGTGACAATTTATATATTGCACTTTGAGACCAAGTTTTTTTTATTTGAACTTTAATTTGAAATTTGAAAAAATTATTGTATATAACTATTAAAGATCAAATTTATAATACGATGAATAATTTTTATGAATGGTTTCATTGAAAAAGTTTATGGATGAGTAATATGATAATGTTTTATGAGGAAAATTGCAATTTCGATATGATACGGAAGTCTTTTTGATGAATGATATATTTTTTCATTTACGTATACACTATATAATCAACATTCGAACATCACTCCCAATTCTTCACAAAGAATCTATGCAAATTACAATTTTTTCTATACATAGCAGTTTTAATAGCTTTTATAAATTAGTTCAACTCAAAATAATATCAAGTTAACTAATAAAATTCTGTATATGCAAATCCCGGAAACATATTCACTATTTAACATGAAATTGCAATTTTTGTAATCCAGCAAAAATATAGGGTCAAAAACAATCATCTATAAGTGTTATAATAGTTGTCTTAAAGTTAATAATATATATGCATAGTCGAGTCTTGAAAAGGAGAAAAAGGAAAGAAAAATGTATTACAGATCTCTCCTTCACGACTCCCTCTTCTGCCCTTTATTTTCGTCATCTCCGCGTGTCCCATAGCTGATTCTTTACGAGTCTTCGAAAATTTATTAGCCCCCGCGTATTGTCGCGCACATTATGGCCTATACTCCTCTCTCTACCTGCGACCACACGCACTCGAAAGTGTAAGTTCATAAACTCCCACGAAAAAAAAGCCTTGCACTCGTCTTTCCCTATTTTTTACGATTTTTTTTTCAACCATTCATTCATCCGCTTGAATTCATTCATTCGAGTCTACTTCACGCGTGCGTTCTTTCCGTAAACTTGAAATCTTGGGAGGGCAATTTTCACGTGGAAACGTGTGAAAATCGATCAATTCTTCTTGCTCTTGTCGAGGTCAATGATATTTTTCTTTCTTTGTTTCCAGCTTTTCCTTTCTTCTCATACATGTATTACCTAATAGCGAGCTAATGATTATTGATATAAACTATTATCATAGTAAATTATCAATATTTCAATATTAGTGTATAATCGATTCCACAAGAAATGCATTAATTCTGTTTAGGCCAATTTTCAAATTGAATGCGTGATGTTAATTATTCGTTCGTATTCGTATATGATATTAATAGAACCTAAAAATTCTTGCGATCCTCATCGAGCATTCTTGTGACATTGCCTTTTCTGCTATTGGATATTCTATTATCGTTCGAAAATAAGTATACTATATTTCCTGGTTCCTTTAGAATTCAATAAATCTAATAATTTTTTATCCTTGTACAGCTTTGAAAACTGTAGCACTGCATAAAAAACTTATTATTTATGAATCTGCTAAATTATTATATTAGTACGATATGATTTTAGACGTATTTTGACTTGTATAATTTTTATTTGAAATTCGAAAGACACTGTAATTTAAAAAAAAATAGAGTATCAAAATCATACGAAGTGAAGATCCAAGTTATTTTCGAGTAAGCAACGCTGCATAAAATAATAAAATTGCAAAATTGAGTTACATATCCTTTAAATTTGTCGAGAGCGCTAATTGGACATTTCAAGAAACAGAGTTAATTTATGCATTTTTCATATGGAATTGACAATATATGAACATTTCATATATTTTTTTTACACATTTGGCGTATTATCGCTCAAAAGAAATTAATAACGTCAATGAAAAATTATTTATAAAAACATATAAGAAAAATGTTCACATGAAAGTAATTTAATTAATTTCAAAAATAAAGTATGCGATTAGTGAACTAGTAAAAAACATAAATTGTTTCCTTATTTTTTGAAATTTGAAATGAATACATGAAATTTCACAACTGTTGCTTATGTATTTTGCTTTCAATTTCCTTTTGCACACCTTAAAAGACAAATTATCAAGTAATCTTGACAAGTATTACGTATCAAATAAGATATGCTTAATACTAGAATTAAAATTATAGTTCGAAATTGAATGAAGACGTCATAAAATATTTAAAACGTAACGGTTTTTTATGTATGAATAGCTTATTCGGTATCCTCGGCAAAATTCTCGGATGATCTGATTTATGCAAAGTCAGCATTCCAATAACGACTTTTAACACATAGAATTGGATTCCATTTTCGAATAATCCCAGAAATTCTTAAATTTTCAAAAAGGCCATAGAATGAAAAAATTTAACTATCGAGAGATCATTAATCGTTCTATGCTAAAGAACAGAAGCATAGTAATATTTTAGAATAGCCACCGTTTTAGTGTCATCGTTCAAACTCTGTATCCTATTACGACTGTTTAGGCCATTGATAGATTTTTGGCGTGGCTGTTATAGTACATAACCAAATTATGTTGAATCTCTACTAATCCTAGGTAGAATAACTGCGCTATAAAATCTAAGCTAAAAGGCGTGAAAGTAAATATTTTACAATTCATTAAATGATTAATTTGTTGTTGGCAACCATTAGTAAAATAACTATTTGTATTATAATGATATCAAAACTTTTCCAATAAATTTAAGCATTAATATAAAAAAAGAAAGTGAATCAGATTAATTTAGTGATTTAACAATATAGAAAAAAAGCCATACATGAATGCAACATATGGAATCGGTGACTGAAGTCTAAAGAAAGATCACGGAAAATGACAGAGGTTGAACATTTCAAAACCATAATGGACTGTCTGAACCGGGCGGGTTGGTGTCCTGATGGCTTTTGAGAAGGACAAGGCGTTTTTATAAATGAAAACTCTTCGGTCCGATACAAAATCGCTGTTCACGACAAATTGTAAAAAAACGTCATCGCATTTTCAATTTCATGCGGGATCTGCTTTCCATTTTTTCTTTCATTAATTTTTGCTGTATACATACAAGTTTTATATAATTAGTTAATAATTAATTACGACATCTATAATCATCCTTCTTCTTCATGCCTTTTCCATTTCTACTGCATTTCTTTGCATTTTTACCACATTGCTTGCCATTCTTACCACCTTGCTTTCCACTCTTGCCTCCGTTGACATTTGATTCGCTGTACTCAGTAGTTTCATCAGCGGATGTTGCTGTAAGCTTAGATTTTGGCGGTGGTTTTGGTGTATGCAATTCTACTTCCAAGTTACGCTTGTTGCCGTTTTCGGGCATGTCGTTCTTTTTCTTCACGCGTAAGAGGTAAATATCTTCACAGCCCTCGGTTATGTGATCAGTATAAATTTCTTGAGATATCGGTCCACCTTTTTTATTAATAGAAATAAGAAAAGTTATTACTGTATGAACGATAGTAACAGTATTTTGAATTTATTTGTCTACCTAGATGAGGGTAAACGGTGATCTTGCGACAATGATTATCTGGTTCTGTGTTACACCGATTGATCTGAATTAAAAGCAATGAAAAGTGAATTTATTCAATATCATTATAACGAATGCAAAAAAATGATGTCGCTGTATCGAAATTTTACTTTGTATGCGATTGCCTGCGGTTTGTAATTCGGATCACTTTTTTTATTCAAATGCGTCTTGGAATGAACTCTAAACAATATCTGATTATTATCGCCACCATTAACAATCCTTGGCCCCTTAGTACTTGTTGGCCTTTTGATTTCAATAACGTCGCAATCGCACGGAGGCTCCCAAGTGCTTTTACGTTTACGCTTGGATTTGTCCTTTTCCATGCGTATGATTAGCTGGTTGCCTATCATTTCGGCACCAACTTCGTGGAAATATTTGCTATCTGACTTGGGACGTAGTGTTGGTGGACATGCTTCAGCAAGAACCGACATCGGTGGGCAACAGCAGTGATCGGAAAGATCTGGTCATTATTAAATTGCGAAACATATTTAGATATAGTATGATGCTTCGTATGCTTCGTACGCGTAGCGGGCAATATAGATTTTTAAATTAGAAATTTTTTTTTTTATTTTGGATTGTCAAAGATTAGGTTAAATAGTAAGAATCGCTTTATACAAACGATTACGTTAACTTAAAAATTTTATTCGCCTTTTTACGCCTACCTGGTTTTAAACAAACAGCCATAGTTAGTGAAAAGTTTTTTTTATTTTATGTTTTTAAAAATTTTTTTTCTAATTTGCTTATTGATTTCGGTTACTTAAATTTTTGTTATATTGACGATTAGAATCGATACAATCGATCTTCAGATACAACTTCACACGAACAAAAATAAATAAACAGACATATTTTTCGGATTACAAAATTTTTATTTTTGGCTTGCAAACAGTATCAAAATAAATTTAACATATTTTGTTGAAATAAAAGTTTAATATGATATCATCTGCTTTTCAATGTGGTTGTCCAGAACGTGGCAATCAAGCTCCATATCTCATTCCACATTCCGTTAATTTAAACTCATGTACGTCGCTCGCTGAAATAGGTACATTTGCATCTGTTTGCTGTTTTATTTCCTTTGTAATTTCATGAAAGTCTTGGCGAATTATAAAAAAATTGCAGGAGTAAAAAATACTCTATCCGTAGGTTAAATGTTGATTTTTTTTAAGAATCTGGTGAACATCATCATGACGATACTTGTGGCTGTGGATCAGATGCCGGGGAAGAAATGCAAGAAAAAAGTCGGGTACTTTCTGAAATTGCAGCGAAGGGCTTACCGTATAAGGAAATAGAGGCAGTTATTAATAACAATCGTGTTGTAGTAAGACTACAGACTGAAAAGCCTAGCAAATTCGACCCTCCTTGCGAATGCATCGAGCCACAAGTTGTTAAGTCAGAAACGGCGAATTCAATAAGTAAAGTATGCATTTTTTGCAATTATCAACATTATATTTGGTCAAAAAATAATGTTAGTACATTCGTTTACGTGATTTCAAGTAAAAATATATAATTTCAGGGTGGAAACGAAATTGTCTTTCAGAAGACTAAAGAGCATTGTCGAACCATTAACGTGTATCCACATCCAGATCCAAAAACTACTGAATCAGGCAAAGGTGACAAATTAGATAAAAAAGATTCCAAGAAGACTGCTGATCAGGGAGCCAACATTAATTTCCCGACCGTTAATCCAGAAGAAAATCCAAATATCTTTGTTTTAAAGATAAAAAGGAAGTGTGAGAATGGTGATAAAAAACACAATTTTGATCTTGAGTTTCGTGCACCGAGACCGTGGCGTCAACAACCGAAATAGAATTCAAAGATTGTTTTTGGTCAATCGTAAACTTAATAAAAATAGTAAATTTGTAGAAAATTGAAACATGTTAAATTTATTAACTTTCCTATAAATGAGTACTGAATAACATTACAAGATAAACAGAAAATTAATTAGTCAAAAAATATAATTATTTTTATATTATTAAGTATTAAAAATTAATTCAAATTTTAAAAGATTACGTAATTTTTTTTCTTATGTAATCGACTACTGGGCGATACAAAGTGATCGCTATTTCGTTTGAATCATTACCCGAAGAATGATGAGAAAAAAAATCAGTAGCATTCAAGCCAACAAAGCATTTCGAAAATGGGAAAACACAGCCGTAAAAATTAAGAAAACGATAGCATATAGCCGTCAATTTGGGTGGTATTGTTTAGGGCCTCGTGAGTGTATGAGAATCGATTATTCCGCAACAGGTGTTAAGGGCCTCAATGCGAAAGTCTGCGGTCGAAGTTATTTTGTTCTTTGGGACTTCGCCCTCGAGAAAGTGGAAGAGAGAAAAGAAGTTGCCACCGTATTCTCTAAATAATGAGACAAGGGGCAGTCATAAAATTCGTATAGTAAAAGTTCTCACCTTTTTAGTCCGGAGACTAAGAATTTTCTGTGTTAAATAATAGGTTCAAAAGAAAAAAGGGGTTTTTATGTATTTTAAGCCGCTAAATCCGAATATATTAGTCCTTTTTTTTTAATTCTAGATTTTTTTAAATCGTAATTATTTAAATGAATTATGAATAAATTATTTTTTCCAATGGGACACACTTTCTTTTTATATAATTTTATTTATTTTGCGAAGAAAAGATTTCTTGTCGTGTTTTTGTAAATTGTGAATTCAAAAAGTTATGAATTTATAAATGTCTTAAATTTGACACATTTGTCATGAACTTTGAATGTCAATCACTTTTTATCTATTAAATTTTTTTTTTTTTAATTGAACCACATACTTTTTTTTCAAGAATCTAAAGTTCAGTTTATGCTTTATATTTTCAAATCAGGGTTATTAAATTGCTTCATGCTTTTACCCCATATAAACCAGTTCTTACAATGAACTCACATAACTAACTTTTAAGTATTGTGATATATATAGCCGAAAAAGACGCTCACTTTTAATTGCAGCAACTTGAACTTATAAAATATAGACTGAACTTTAAAGATGATCAAATTGCAGATTAATTCGTAAAGAATACGCAAGCAGTTTAATTTTGAATAAATATTTAATAGATAAAATAAGTTATTATTTGTAATTTGTAAAATCAATATCTACCGAGTAAATATTTGTAAATGCATTATAAAATATTCTGAATACAAGTTCAGAACTCACTGCTCTTGGACACTCAAAAATTTCCCAAGACACTACAGTAGCTAGAAATAAGGACATCTAAATCGCCTTCAAATAAAAATAGTCCGAAAGTTCCTCGAAACTGTTCTCAAAGGAAAAAGAATCTTGCAATGCTAAAACGTCTCCAACTTTCTCACGCGTCGTTTTTATATACATGCAGGTGAGTTTCCTCATTGAATTTGTCTATTTTCGACAGGCACCCGCCTACTACGAGCCCACTTTTCGGACAAAAGATGCCGCGCGCTGCGCATGCCGATGCCGTGCGACTTCTGACTTAACTTCGGACAATGCAAGGTGCACGCGAGGGAGTCACGGAAAATTTTTCGAGATTACCGCAGGGGGTGGGCAACTGATCTGCTTTCAATTTTGTATACTGAAGGGATCACTATTTTTGTCGTAAAAGGCAAGTGCCACAATTCGAATGATCATCGTAGAAATATAAAATCCCTTAAGATAAGTAGTTTTTTAAAATAATTTAACTTACGTGTTTTACGTATGACGGAATAAATTATTATATAATTTAATCGAGTTCAAGTGACCTGAACGAAGCAGTAATGTTGAACTTAATAAACCTCTATTTTACTTGTCAACTTGACATAAGATCTAATTAATTATTAACATACCTTAAGCTTTATCATGTAGCAATATATTATTAAATAAATTTATCAACTGGATAAACATTGTTGAAAAATAAATTGTTTGAGGAAAAAAATTAAGAATAACGTGATTTTAATTTAATAAGTACGAAGGAATTGTTGTGAGTAATGATACAGATGGAAGTAAGAGGTTTATCGGTGTCAAATCATTATAACAGTTGCTAAAACAATTGCTGTAACAAGTTTCTTACAGGTCTTTGAAAACAAATAGATCATAGTCTTAATAAACCAGGGATTATTTTAGGAACTTCTTGTGTTTGATAATGCCATCCCAAACGAACAGCTAGTCTTTGTAGAAATAAAGATTTGTCTTTTCTCTACTGCAGTAACAATTAATAGTATAACTTAATATTATATTATTATAGTTCGATAATTGTTATTGTTAATTTTTCGCAGTTATTCTACAATAAATATTTGTATACGGATGTACTATGTTAAAGAATGATGTGAAATCCAATTCAGAATCCGTAAAGCCTGAACAAAGCTAAATAACAAAAAATAAAATAATCGGTATTCAAAAAGTGTTTCCGAATGTTATTTTTGCGCTAATAGTCACAAAATTCAAATTATTTTTCTAGTAAAAACTACTTTACTTGTATTCACTTGATAAAGATCATAATAAATGCAAGATGGTTTTCGCATATAGATTAGTAACGAATGTTAGAAGTTTTCTTACATTTTATCTATATGTTACAAAATACTTACGTAATGTGCTAAATAAATACTGACGTTTACTAAGATAGAACGTAAAACACTTGTTCAATCAAAAGATTCGAAGTAGATAATCATTGACGTACTATAGACATTGAAAATTAAGGTTGAAAAACTTCAATTATTACTGAATTCTCTGAAACTGATAATTATCATCAAATATGGTATTACTTTATTTTATAATATATTTTCTTAACATTTGTGTAATCTTACTTTTTTCGCTCTAATCTCCATAAAACCAAAAATTCGTATTCGGTAATTTTTAAGTCATATAATTTTTTATTTTTTTCACCTTGAGCTTTAGTATTCAAACGGCATGTGACAAGTCACCAAAGTTGATTGTAATTAGTATAAACCTTTCATCAAATGATTATTATTAACTAAGATGAATAAATTAATTACTATGTTATATGCCTGACGATCATTTTCTTTTCAATCCAGAATCATTTTCATCGATATTTTCTCTCCAATTCAATATATATATGCATTCCCCCCTGAAAATTAATTTATGAATTTCTTACACAATTCGTACGTATGCACGTACAAAGATCAAACAAAATGCATAATATATACTTCGTACACAATACGTACATATTTCGTACACATATTTCGGAATAAATATGTACAAAGTATGTACGTATTGTATACGAATAATGTACGTATTTTGTATGTATTTTGTTCGATCTTCATACGTGCATTTGCACGAATTATGTAAGTAATTCATAAATTAAATTTCAGGGGGGTTGCTTTAAGCCACAATCAGAAATTACAATGGTCAATCGCCGAAACTGCAAATTTCATCAATTGATTTATTCCATAATTACAAAACTTTAGTGCAATAAATCCAGCTACTTTCGAACAAAAGACGATTTAGAAATCGAACGTAATCAAGCTCTGCACTGAAAATGTCCATAAATCTTCAAAACGCGGGGAAGGTTTTCAAAAATCAGGACACGTACGCGACCCGTCGACACCGACATTGTCGCAACACAACATTGCGAGCCTATATCGTGAACGCTGCCCTTTGTTAAGCTTGGGAGGGCTCGTTTGTCTAGTTTTCGTCCCTTCCGTTATACGTTTAGCAGACATTTAGGAAGAAGTGATCTTATTTATGTGCACCGCGGGTGCTGATGTATCTATTTTTCAGTCCGAGATGCGTGCATTTTTACGAGTTTTCTTCCGTTTCGCACAGTTTTTCAAAGTGTCTGGAAAGAGGAATTCCGGAAGACCTGAACATTTTCATTTTGTTAAAGATATAGATGTATCTAACTACGGGGGACTTTTATGCTAGTCTTTGTCATGAGAAATGTTTTTTCTTAAATAACATTATCATTCGAATGGTACATTGAAAAATGAATAACACAATATTAATGATTTTTCCTTGACATGAATATCACCTAGAAAACCTTTTTTTTATTTAATGTGGGGCGGAATAATTTTCTATAAGTATTAACTGAAGTGATGTTTAATGACAGGAAAACGTAGGAACATGGGAGAAAAAAAATGAAAAAAATTATTTCTTGAAAACATTGAATCTGGCTTATAGATAAAAAAGCAGCTTCCTCGAAAATCGAATTTATCTCCAATGAGTTTCCATCGATCCGTAAAAATATCTGTCCCGTAAGATATAGATTTATTCAATCATTCAACATTAAAGAGCCCTGACCATCATTACTCGCATATTGTACCATCCTTTCAATAAAAAAAGACCTCTGCGAGATAACCGATGGAGAATTCCCAATGATCACATGATCGTCCCTCAGTCGCATCAACCAAAAATGACTTCCTCTCACCCCCCGAGTATATATAGAGAAAAGCTATATTTTTCTTGAACGGCGCGAGCCCAGCGTGTGCCCATTAGTGAATGGACCCGGTAGCAATTGTAAAGCAGACGATACTCGCGTCATCGGGGAGTACGAGGTGAAAAGTCGCGAGATGCCTCATCAGTTGACATAAAGGCCATTATTAAACGTTAACAATGGCTTTCTCCGAGTATAGATTCTATTTTTTGCTTACGTATCGTTCGCTAAATTGAGATATTGATGTATCACTTTTCTGATATGCAATTCTTCATAAATCTCAAGTGTGTAGACTGAAAAGGCATATTTATATGGAAATATGACAACAAGAAAAAAAAGGATCGATGAATTCTTTAAAAAGTAATTCGCTCAATGTAACATTTTTTTCTGAAAAATGAATAATTGTATTCTTTAAATTTAGTTTCTATTTTCAAGATAATTGCACTGAAATAAAAAAATTTAAGTTACATTTTC